GTTATAAATATAAAAAAATAGAAAATGGCGAATTATGGCTGAGCCAAGCCGAAATCTGGAAAAAAAATATTTTACATTTTTGACTTATTTTTGCATGTAGAATCTGAATCTGCATAGCCCGCTACGCTTTACTGAAACACCCTATATAAACAGTATATTCAGAATGTATATACAGGAAAATGTTAGGATAGCATATGATTAAAATACAGCTCTATAAGTATGCTTGAAAGGGAGGAGGCTGTGGATGATTCTGACGGCTCTCTTTTGAAGGTGGAAGTTCCGTATTAAAAAACTGCTGCTGAAATAAAAATTTTGCGAAGAGGAAGTGGGTTCCTGTGCTTTCACCACTCTATAGTGCACTCCATATGTGTGTAAAAAGTTGAATAGGTGTTCTCATTATTTTGTGTATCAAAATTTGAATAAATTGTGTTATGGGGAATTTCCCATATAGGGAATAAGCTATTACCGTAGTACTCATGGTAAGACCTGGACCCGGGACCAATTTACTTTTTCCTTTTGAGGTCCCTAGAGACCAAAAACACTATCTATTCAAATTCATATATATATATATTTATATATATATATATATATATATATATATATTAGCGAATTTCCCTATAGGGAAGTAGCTATTACCGTAGGTCTCATGGTAAGACCTAGGCCCGGGACCGATTTCCTTTTTCATTTTGATGTCCCCAGAGGCCAAATCACCATTTGTTCAAATTTTTATATATGTGTATATATATCTATATATAAATAATTTAAAACATTATAAAAACATTAGTACCCTTTTTAAATTCATTTTTAATTAATAAAGTTTATTAATTAAAAATGAATTTAAAAAGGGTACTAATGTTTTTATAATGTTTTCAATTATTTATATAGTAGTAGCCCTAATCACAATCATACTTATTATATCTATATATATACACACATATATATATAAATGTGTTCGTCCGGACGATAACTTGAGTAGTTTTTGTCCGTTTTTTATGAAATTTGATTTGAAGGTGTAAGGCGGGATAAACTTGAATGAGTTTGCGAACCAACATGATCGGAACATGGGAACGGGGTTTAACGGGGGGTTTTATGGGGTAAAAATTGGTTTTTCTCATTTTTGACACTCAAAACCAAAAAATTTCCAAATTTCTATATATACCTTCTTAAAGAGCTTAAAAAAACAAATAATTAAGTATATCAAAGTGTTTTTGTACGGTTATTGGTTACTAAGAAAATTCAAAAAATTGTAAATTTTCTATTCCCATGTTATTCTTATGGAGAATATTGTAAAATGTTGTAGTTTGCTAGTTTATGGATATATTTGGATTAAACTTGGCAAATTTATTGATTTTATACTAAGCTATAATTATTTTACTAAAAAACAAAATTTTTTAGTTAAACCTAGGTACTCGTTAAACCTAATGTTATAAATAGATTAATTGAAAATCAATTTAGGCAAATGGAAATTCGTTTAGATGGCAGGTTCGCTGCGGTGGGGGTTTTATATATATATAAATGTGTCCGTTAGCGCGATAACTCGAGCAAAAATCATCCGATTTTGATGAAATTTGGTACAAACGTGTAAACCTATACGTTTATTTGAACGAGTTCGCGAACCAGCATGATCGGACTATGGGAACAGGGGTTTATGGGGGGTTTTATGGGGCAAAAATTTGTTTTTCCCATTTTTGACCCTAAAAACTTAAAATTTAGCATTTTCTTTCTTAACCATTTTGTAGAGCTTAAAAAACAAATAATTTAGTATATTGAAGCGTTATTATGCGCCTAATGGTTACAGAGAAAATTCCAAAAAACTGTAAATTTAAAATTTTCATGTTATTCTTATGGAGAATAAGTAAACTGTTGTAGTTTGCTTGTTTATGATCATATTTTGATCAAATTTGGAAAATGCATTCATTTCATACTAAACTATTAACATTTTACAAAAAACAAACACCTTTTTACCCTTCCTGTTGCAGCAAACCTAAGTATTCGTTAAACTAATGTTATTTAAATAGGGAATAAATGTGATATTTTTAAGGAGACATTTTAGTGTAAATCCAATCAGGCAAATGGAAATTCGCTTAGTCTGCAGGTTTGCTGCGGTGGGGGTATTTTTGCCTTTAGGTAGGCGTATATCTAAATGAAAAAGTAAATTAGTCTCAGTAGTAGGCCTTTCTGTGCTACCTAAGGTAGCACAGAAAGGCCTACTGGGACTGATTTACTTTTGCTACCTAATTGGTAATAGCTTCCCTATAAGGAAATTCACTCACAAGGTTGTATGCTATTCAATTTGAAATGCTGCTAAAAGTACTTATATGCATTTATATTTTTTCAGGATGAGTCACAGGATGGGTACAAACAGATAGCGCTTGGGGTGCAAACAATTCTGGAATGTCCAGTGTGCTTTGAGAAGATGGACTCCACATTAAGAAAATGCATGAACGGACATGGAGTATGCAGACCATGTGCTTCAAAGATTGACAAATGTCCAACTTGTAAGGAAGAGTTCTCCTTGGCACTTCATCAGAATACCTTGTTGAATCAATAACTAGATTTGATTCCTAAGCTTTGCCCTTATGCTGAGAAAGGTTGTGACTCGGTGATCATAGATCAGGAGCATCAGACCTACTGTGAATATCGACCAACTGAGTGTAAAGTTATGGCGTGTAAGTGGAGTGGGCGTGCCAAAGACTTACTTGAACACTTAAAAAGTAGTCATGAGACTAGGATTATTAATATTGATTTAAATGGAAAATATTCAGGAATATACATATTCAGTTTACTAATGGAAGGGGAAACATATTATAGGCCAATTATATGCCAAAATCAAATTTTTTGGAAGTGCATTTATTTAAAAGGTCATATAAATCATACCTACCATCGATTATATTCTGTTCCAACAATGAAGAAATCTTGTGATTACTACATGGTAATATCATTTGAAAGAGGTGATTTAAAATTTGAGCATTATTGCAAAGCGGCAAACTTAGATGATCAATTTGAACCTGAAAATGAAAGTGGTCTTATCATTCCTGTTTGTGAGTTGAACAAATTTTTGGAGGAAGGAACACAAGATTCCTACTATTACAACCTGAAATTGGTGAAAGAAAACATTTCATAGATTCAGGTGTCATGTCAAAGCAAAATGTATAATTAAGGATGTTTAAGATAATTTAAAAAAATGTTGTTTGACATCACAAGATATAGTAAATGAATTCAGTACAACAATGGAAACACACTCTAACTTGGCTCCTTGTTTAGTCCAATCAAAGTGTAGTCAAAGACTGCATGCATTGTTGTAATAAAATGTTTCAATATTCTATATGTTTTATTCTTTTGTTTCATCCAACTCAAAACTTGTCTATCACGTTTTAGCAAATTTTCCCCATTCCCCATAGGGGGAAACACATCTAAAACATATCAAGGTCTTGAAATATCATGTAAGGAACAGATAAAAATATCAAAACTTATTTCATTAGAAATTGTTTATTTTTTACGTAGAGAAAACTAACAAAATGTTTATTTCAAAGGCACAGAGCAAAGGAAAACTACCATAAGTAAAGGGTGGTCCACGGGAAACGGATGGGTTTAAAAGCTATTGCTCTTAAAGTTTTAAATATAAAAAAGTTTTATTGACAAAGAAATTAAGGAAAAGTTATGTACTTCCAATCACAGTAAAACGTTGGCAAATGTAACTCTAATTATGAAAGGAGATGTTTCTGCCATTATTAGTACTGTAATCTTAAATTCCAATCTACCCAGGCTTCCAAAATTCACCATATTTAGCTTATGAAAATTATTTTATTAATTAGCTACCAAATAATTTAAATAATTATTAATTATTCAAATAATTAATTGGTAGCAGTAAAAGTTACATTGTTTGCAATTTGCTTTATAAAATAGAATTTAATACATTTTACACTATCACAAAAATTAATGAAAATATAATACTATAATAATATTTTGTACAACAATTGGAAAGTTTAGTTATCATGTAATGTAGCTATCAATTATATAAATACCAGAAATTCTGTAATCACTGGCAATATGGTACTATCTATTTTTGTAGCAGTTTCAAAGGATTTCTTACTTTTAAGCTAGGCGCCCACCGGGCAACCCAGCGGGTGACGCGACGCGACGCGGCACGGCGCGACGCGGAGAAAAACTTCCGTCCGCTTCTCCAGGGTTCGCGCCCACCAAGCAACTCTAGCAGAAGCGCGGGGCAGCGCGGAGGATTATTCTTTTGGAGGGGATGCACAGTGCACTTCGATTCGGACCCGAACACTCCCGAAGGGCTCGCGATACTTTCCGAAAACACCCGAATGAGCGGCAGCCGAGGGGCAGACGCCGTTTCCGTGCCTCTACCCCGCGCCCACCAGGCAACTCAACGGAGGCGCGGCAACACGAGAGGAAGAAATTCTCCACCGAATTCTCACTGCAGGATTCGAGAAGAAGTTTTTTTTCCGCGCCGCGTTGCGCCACCCGCTGTGTTGCTAGATGGGCGTCAGTCCATAAGATAACATGGCACGGATACGTGGCAACTTTTTTCCACGGCGTCGCGCCGCGCCGCGTCACCCGCTGGGTTGCCCGGTGGGCGCCTAGCTTTAAGATTTTAGTCTCATACCAATCTGCAAAGCATGGGGAAAGATACTATATAGTTCTATTCTTAAAGAGTATACTGGTTCATATAAATTTGACATTTTTTATCATTTAATATTCCCACCGTTGTGGTATTACAGTTGTCTGTCTTATTTTCTTGAAATTATTCTGAAAGACTAAAGTGCAAATAAAGTTAAGGGAAATAAAAAGTTGTGAGGAATTTATTAGTAAGAAAGTAATAATTGCCTTTTGGTTTTTAAACTAAACTTTTCCAAACTCACTATCATGCATGTACATTGACCCTGAAGGGGATTGATAAGAACTTGTTGAGAGTTGAGATAAGATATTGATGTTCAGGACTCAGTAGTAAGGTGGTCATGGGTTAAGATGAATCATGTAAAGGTAATCATGTAAGATTAAACCAAACTAGTGTATAGATTAGATTTTCATATTGTTTCACTGAAGTAATAAAATACACATTCTTAATTTTAAGGAAGTATTTAAGAAGGCTGCTCACATCCACCTTATAGCTGAGATGGTAAGTTTTATTTTCTCACTAAGCAATAGGATGAAAGAAAAGTTATCTAAAAAGAGTATAGCCATTGACTATATACCGTTATGGTGTAGTCAATGGTATGACAATGAATTATGCAAGTATTAATCTCAAAATATCCTTGTCACAGCAAACCTGCAGACTAAGCAAATTGCCATATTCATTGAATTTCCACTAAAATATTTCCTTAAAAAAATCCTTAGGATTGCTGCTATGGAGAAGGTAATAAAGTGTGTTTTTAGTTTGTCAATAGCTTATCATATAAGAAGAATTTCCCAAGTTTGATTAAAATATATCCATAAACAAGCAAACTACAACAGTTTACTTATTTTTATAAGAATAACATAAAGTTTGAAATTTACAATTTATTGCATTTTTCTGTTACTAATAACTGTACCTTTAAAAACACTTCAATAATAATAAATTATTTGTTTTTTATAGCTTTACAAAATGATTTGGAGAGAAACTCTGAAATCCTGCTATATTTTGAGGGCCAAAAAGGAGGAATACCAATATCTACCCCTCTAACACACACAGAACCGGGCGGGCGCGACAGGGCATTTTGCCCCGGGGCGTCTTGTGCGATGGGAATTGCACAGGCTTTTACGGAGCGCCACACACAGAACCGGGCGAGGCAGGGCACGTCAAAAAGACGGCCCTGGGCGCCCGCAGGGCAAAATGTGAAGCTTTCCAAAATTATGCCCCGAGGCAAGTCGTTGCCGGACAGAACTTTCTGCCCATGCGTGGTCATGTGATTTATTCCCTTACAGGCAAATTTTGATAAGGATTATATTACAACCGATAAAATTTACATATAAGACTATACAGTAACAATTTATACGACCAAATATTACACCCTTTATAGTAGTGATATTACTACAGTGGTTGAATAAATAATAATTTATCTTGGTATTGATAACTGAGAATAGAGGGCATATCTTAAAGGGTTTAAAAAAACACTCTTCTGGAGGTATGGCTGTTTTCTATTTTGTTTTCTATTCTGCTCCCTAGTATAAAGTCCAATTTAAAAGTTTGCTAAATCGGCTCAAGGCTCAGAAATAAAAAATCCTATATTAATTCAATTCAATTCAATATTTCTTTATTCATTGAAGCACAAAGTACATGAATAGTGTCATTCTCTTAAATGTTTTTATATTACAATGTTATATTCTATGGATACAAAGTTCTTAAAATCTAACATAAGTTTATACAAATTACAAATTAACGCTCCTTCAAAAATTTTAAAGTTCATCAAGGGAATACAATACCTTGTTGATGAGAAATGTTTTAAGACCCCTCTTAAATCCGACCATGCATTTTGCCGATTTAATTTCATTTGGAATTTTGTTGTAAAATTTGGAGCCGGTATAACTTGGTTTTTTACTGTAAAGTTCTAATCTGTGGCGGTTTACAGCAATGTAACACACTCCAAAATGAGAGAAACAAGTTTGTTTGTTTAGTGTTATTGGGAATTTATTGTAAATAAAACTCGACATGGTGTTATTGCTAGCTCAAATAGAGTATAAATTGAGTACCGGTAGGTCTATGTTTTTGTTTATTAATAGATTTATTTTTCTTTATAAGATTTGAGCGGAAAAAGAAATGACATTATCGTCTTCTGCAGTGGTGTCAAAATCTTGAATATCTCACATGGTCACAGAAATATTAGTATCGTCTTCCACTATCACAGCAAAATCCTTAATGACTCCTGCAGATTTGATTGTGAAAAATTGGTCAAGTTCCTTCAGGTGTATCACTAAAGAGCCTCTCTGTTGTAACCACTGTGGACAACATTAATTCTAAACACAGCCCCATTGTAGCGCCTCCGTGCAGGCCACGAGGAGAGATGATGCAACCCGCATGACTCCCGACAACTCTTTTACTTAGGTTAAAAGAAAATTTCTATCAACCGGTCAAGTAGCCAGTTTAGCAGTTGTTAACTACTTGTCCTAGTGTTCGCGCTGGTTTTAACAAAGTTTTGTCATAAAAAATGTATGGCAAAAATGTATTGGCCGGTTGCGGATCTGGGTCCCGGTAAAATTTCCCAAAAAATCCCAGTCAAGACTTGCCCCCCTCCTGGCACCGCAGGCCCACAATCGCAACCACTGACCCCCTTCGCAGCAAACCTGCAAACTAATCAATTTTAATTTGTCTGATTAGATTTTTAATCATTTTTTTTAAAGCCTGAGTCATATTTATTTCCTATTTCAATAACATTTGTATAATAAATATCAATGGAATTTGAAAATTTACAGATTTTTTGAACTTTTTCCATAACCTTTAATTGTACAACAATGCTTCAATATAATGTTGTTAGTGCTTGTAAGTTCTACATGGTTCTACAATGGCTGTGATAAAAATTGGGCATTTAAAATTTTTAAGAGTAAAATTTGAAACCCCCCCATAATATGTTGATCTAGTGTTACACATCAATGTCAAAGTTACACACACATACAAGGTATTTCAGTAAAGCGTAGCGGGCTCAGATATTCAATTTAAAGCAGTTGGTAATTCAACTAATCCACATTTACCTCTTATTTGTTCACAAAAACTAATAAAACTTGCACAACATTTTTATTTATTATACGGTTTTCGCAAATAAAGTGTCATTCGATTTGTTATAAAAAGGACTTTAAATTGTGTTGCAAAATTGTGTTTTATAATCTGGTTTTCATAGAATTTGACTTTAATGATTTTAAATAGCCGCCATTTTGAAATTCGATAAGCCTGATCAAAGATATTTTCAGAGAATGTTTATAGCTGTGGATTTAAAATTTATACTAAGTTTCATAAAAATATCTCCAAGGACTTTTGAGTTGTAAATAAAAAAAATACAAAATGGCAAATTACGGCTGAGCTAAGCCGAAATCTGAAAAAAAATATTTTACATTTTTGACTTATTTTTGCAAGTAGAATCTGAATCTGTATAGCCTGCTACGCTTTACCGAAACACCCTATATAAACAGTATATTCAAAATGTATATACAGGGAAATGTTATGATAGCGGATGATTAAAATACAGCTCTATAAGTATGCTTGAAAGGGAGGCTGTGTATGATTCTGACAGCTCTCTTTTGAAGGTGGAAGGGGAAGTGGGTTCCTGTGCTTTCATCACCCCATATTTGTGTAAAAAGGAGAATAGGTGTTCTCATTATTTGTGTATACAAATTTGAACAAATTGTGTTTTTTGCCTAGGCCTATATCTAAATGAAAAAGTAAATCAATCCCAGTAGTAGGCCTTTCTGTGCTACCTAATTGGTAATAGCTTCCCTATAAGGAAATTCAGTCACAAAGGTTGTATGCCATTCAATGTTAAATGCTGCTAAAAGTACTTTAGCATTTACATTTTTGCAGGAGGAGTTACAGGATCGATATAAACAGATAGCGCTTGGGGTGCAAACAATTCTGGAATGTCCAGTGTGCTTGGAGAAGATGGACTCTACATTAAGAAAATGCATGAACGGACATGGAGTATGCAGACCATGTGCTTCAAAGATTGACAAATGTCCAACTTGTAAGGAAGAGTTCTCCCTGGCACTTCATCAGAACACCTTGTTGAATCAATTACTAGATTTGATTCCTAAGCTTTGCCCCTATGCTGAGAAAGGCTGTGAGTCTGTGATCATAGATCAGGAGCATCAGACCTACTGTGAATATCGACCAACTGAGTGTAAAGTTATGGCGTGTGAGTGGAGTGGGCGTGTCAAAGACTTACTTGAACACTTAAAAAGTAGTCATGACACTTGGATTATCAATGTTGATTTTAATGTAAAATATCCAAGAGCATACAAATTAATTAATTTTTTAACAAAGGAACCTCGTTATACGCCAATTATATGCCAAAATCAAATTTTTTGGAAGTGCTTTTGTTTAAAAGGTGATATAAATCATACCTACCATCGATTATATTCTGTTCCAACAATCAAGAAATCTTGTGATTACTTCATGATAATATCATTTGAATCAGGTAATTTGAAATTTGAGCATTATTGCAAAGCGGCAAACTTAGATGAGCAAATTAAACCTGAAAATATAGAGAGTGGTCTTATCATTCCTGTTTCTGAGTTGAGCAGATTTTTGAAGGAAGGAACAGAAAATATCTACAATTTCAACCTGAAATTGATTAAAGAAAACATTTCATAGATTCAGGTGTCATGTCAAAACAAAATGTATATCTAAGGCTGTTGCAGACCATTGGAAAATTTGTTGTTTGACAGCACAAGATATAGTAAATGAATCCAGTACAACAATTGAAACACATTCTAACTTGGCTCCTCGTTTAGTCCAATCAAAGTGTAGTCAAAGATTGCATGCATTGTTGTAATAAAATTGTTCAATATTCTATAAGTTATCTTTGATTATTTTGATTCATCCAACTCAAAACTTTTCTGTCACGTTTTAGCAAATTTCCCCCATAGAGGGAAGCAGATCCAAGACATATCAAGGTCTTGAAATATCATGTAAGGAACGGATAAAATATCCAATCTGACTTAATTAGAAATTGTATTTTTTAACGCAGAGAAAACTAACAAAATGTTTTTTTCAAAGGCACAGAGCAAAGAAAAACTACCATAAGTACAGTGTGGTTCGCGGGAAATGGATGGTTTTAAAAAAGCTATTGCTCTTAAAGATTTAAACATAGAAAAGTTTTATTGACAAAGAAATTAAGGAAAAATTATGCCATTTACAAAATAAAATACCTTATTTTAAGTTTTGAAAATTACCTCACTCAAACTGCGGACATTGAAACGGATACATATTTTCAAGCCTTGCTTGAAAATGTTTAACTTTGTCCAGTAACTATTGATTGATAAGTCCAATTTGACTCCTGATTGCGGCCTTCAATTCTTCCAGAGTAAGTGGTTTTTTTCTTTTTGAACACCTGTCTTCATGTGACTTCACAGGGAAAAGTCATTAATTGACAAGTCCGGTGAACTACATCAGCCACACAACATCACCAAACCATGAGATCACACGACCAGGAAATTACATTCAAAATGCTGCCATAGATGCATTGGCCGTGTTGCCCCATCTTGTTGAGACTAAATGTTCTTGATGCAGATTTTCTACCATTTAAGTTCGGGAATGAAAAAGTCGCTTATCATGTTCATGTATCGTGCAGAATATTAACAATGACATATTTCCATATTTGAATGTTTGCTGAAAGTAACAAATTTGCTGGTCATGCCAGCTGTCATCATCATTTGGGGACCGAGCAGGTTTATCCCTAGGGCCGCAAAATCAGCTGCCCGCTTACACTCTTAAAACATTAATGCATATTAAATACACAATAAGTATCCATAGCATTGCAATAGAATTGTTTTATTGTCACCGCTGCCTAGCAATTATTTATTATTACTAGTGCACCTGTTGCTCGAATTCGAGCAATTGCAAAGTATTACAGGCATTCAAAACTAATAACAGTCGCAATTTCCGATGACTTAAAAGAGTCAACTCAAAGTCAAATCAATCACTCCACTACAGTTAGTTATCGAAACTGGAAACAAACTCACTCTGAATACGAAAGCTATTGTGTGTATCATGTGTTTAATACAAACAGCTGTAATTAACACAAATAATTTGTCTGTTTAAGTAAACAAAATATTTTCTTCATAAGAAATACATTGGGATTTTCATGGCCTGTGGGGCAAAGCCCGAGGACTTTTATTACAGGAATTGGTGAAAGGGGGCGTCTACACAAAAAATAATTAATTTTGACACATCGTTTGTAAAAATCCGTCCATTATTAACGGAGGAGTAGTGTTTCTTAGAAATCACCTTCAAGTATTATATATAAGGATTTTTGCTAATTCCTCAAATTATTTCTTCACATAACCTTCAAGTTGTAGTTGTATTGACGATCAGAGTGCATTATCTGAATAGTGGTAATAGGGTATAGTGTGGTGAAAAATAGCTTTCGTACCACGGACCGAAATGGTTTTGCAGCTCTCGATCGTTTTAAAAACTATCTCAAGCCAGCAAAACCTAATTTTCGACCATAGGTATGAAATATACTATTTCAGTTTCATTGAAAGTTTTTATTTTTTGTATAAAGCCAATATTATTAATTACTAGTGAACCTGTGCGGGTCAATGCCCTGCAAAATAACATATGAATTTAGAAAACAAATTCATCGTGGTATATATTGACTCGACGTCTAAAATTAAATACAGTAATAATAAAGCCTTAGATGGGAAGCGACCTTTTTGCATTGTTGAATTCAGTCATTCTGGCAAGACTTGTTTTAGAAGGGGTTCTTAAGGATTTGTTTCAAGAAACCAACAGCAAGTTTATCTTCAGCATTAAATTAATGTAGTAGTATCTTACCTCCATCTGCGAACTTAAAGGACAAACTTTGGAGATCTTTCATACTCAGACCATAAAACAACATTCACCCAGTTTCATAATGTGTTCAACAATTTGAGGTTTAATTCTGGGTTACAGAAAAAGCACCTGTAACAAAGCAAAATATGAGTAGTTTATCCCTAAATATGTATTTGTATGTTACAAAAAAGGTTAAAGAAAGAGTAATCACCTTTAAGAGTCTTTTTCTCAACGTAAAGTAGCTTTGGAGATTCTCACTGCTTGGAAATTTTTCTCTGAGATCTGCCTGAAGCATCTCTGTACATATCTTCTAATCAGTCTTTCTGAAAGTATAACGTTAAATCAATCAAGTAAATTAGTATGATTAACATGCCACTGGCACTACTCCAAGAAAATCCCACACCTCAAGGTTTTAGAATCATAGCTTTAACACCTGAATAATTGGATACCATACCAGTGAATAATTCATAAAAATGTGTGAAACTTGACAAAATGTTTGGGGCAAGAGTATGCATGCAAACTTTTGCCCCAACAGAAATGTGTCTTGTTACCTAACGGATATGCATACTCTTACCTGATGGCAATGTGTACTCTTACTGCAAATTCAAAGTTTTTACTTGTAGCTGCTGCTCGCTGTTGCCATTGATTGGGTGAGTGTGAGATAGTGATTGTTACTCACTAAGATCAGCTGTCTCATCCAGGATCATTTATTCAAAGATCAGGAACAGCTGGGTCCAGTTTCGATCCATCAAAAAGCTTCTGACTTTTCTCAGGGTCGAACCGGTGACCTTTTGATTTAGGCACTATGAAAACTCGGTTACCCAGCATACTATGTTACAATGACGTGGACACTTACGTCTTTGACCCGATCTAGTTGGATAGGGAAATCTATAATAGCCTCCCTGAACAAATAAAACCAAAAGAGAATTTGTTAACTAAACAAAACTTTCCATTGATTACTTATTTGTTCTTACTCAATTTTATGATTTTCTTAATAAAAAATATCATGTTAAATATCGCTGTACTAGATAAAAACGTTTGGAATTAGATTAAATTATTAACGTTTTCATGACTTGACATGTTTTTTCACACAGGTATGTTAAGTGACTTTGGATGAGAAGAGTTTCATTTAATTGTGAAAAGCTTAAGAACAAACTCCACAGCTGTAACTAAAGAGGGAAAAATAAACCGGAACATCAGCTGATTACTTTCAACTAAACGCTCATCTTTGAATTCTTTTGCTAGTAAGTTCTGATAAAATTAGTTAAAAAGTGTTAGCAGGTATTAGGAAGGAAGACTGATTAATAACAGACACAAAAACTATGTAAAAACATGTGCAAAATGGTTTATTTACCAAACAAATTGGTAATATATAAAAACAATAGAAATAACTTATCACAGAGATATAAATAATATGTAATCAACAAAATGTGTAACTAAATGCACCATAATACAACAAATTTCTTTGCAAACAACACAATATAAATCAGTCAATAATATTTTTATTATTCTCTTTTCACAAAATTTAGGCGGATTTAATGGAGAAAATCTATCCCCTCCACTTGATCCTACCTTTAAAATAATAGCCCAACAGCTGAGGTTTGCAAAAAACATCAATCAGCTGCAATATTATTGTATTAAGCAAAAATAGGAGTGGGGGGACTTCCCCTCAAACTGGCTATTTTTTTGTGAATGGAGTATAAGAGCACAAAATACTGATGCTGCTTAGTACAATTTAAACAGAACCATAAAAAATACATGAAATTGAAAGTGGGCATAATTGGTTTTTATAAAAGTATTTAAGGAATGGAAATTTCCTAAATTCAAACCAATTTAAAATAGGAGGAAAATCATTTGATACCTGAAGGCAGAATAGCCTTATAGAAACATAATCCTGGATTTCAGTAAAATGAAATAAAAAGAAGATATAAAAAGGTTAAGAAACCATCAAAAATAGAACTGAAAGTTTAGAATTAAACATCGTAGGTGTACATACTATGCATCAACAGAGAATTATTAGCCAAAAGTCAAAACATATTTACCTACACAAGTAATAAAGTAGGAATGGTAGATTAGAATGTTACGTGTTTACTAAGAGTAAAACTAATAACTAATTAATAAAAAAATAATAATTAAATTAATCATAATATCAGTACACTAAGGTAGTAGTTATCCCGTAATAAAACATATTGCTACAAAATTGTTGAAAATAAACAAACCAATTGTTCAACAACAAAATAAAGCACCATTGAATGATAACAAATAAGAATTTCTTATTGACTAATTAACAAAAAAAACTCAACTTTGGCAATACTTAATGGTAAACAGTGAAGCGTTACACAAACGTGAGAATTCTTCAACTACAAAATACATTTTGTAAATATTATGGAATAAATCAAATCATTTCTTTTAATCAGCCTTAAGACTGGAATGTAACTATTTGGACTAGAACATTGTCAGTTATCAGCTGTTTTTGTTAGTGATCAGCTGTTTTTCGTTAGTGATCAGCTGTTGCCCTTGATGATTTTGCTCTAGTCTTTGCAGCTGTAGTCAACCTCTCATTGTTGTAAGATAAATACACCTTGGACAAGTCTGGAACTGGGATCTGCACAAAATGCAAGTCATTAATGTAACAATGACTTATTACAAGTGATGTTTTGACCATGTACACATGTAAAAAAACATTTGATAGCTAAAACATTTGTATTACATCATGTGTAAAGAATGGGAATTTGTCTTAGTACTGCAGGGTATTACATAGGGTTTGCCCCTTAGTATAGACCCTTACTAAGCCAGCTTTGTCCCGACTAGGGATGGACGAGATTGGATTTTTAGTTTGAGGCGATACGAGACCGAATTTTTTACTTCTCATAAACTTTTGAGACGAGATCAGGATTTCCCTTCTCATACATTACGGGATATGCACGTTCAACGTTGTAACCTGATTTTGTAACATTGTTAAATACCTACTGATTTTATTAATAAAGCACCAATAAAGAATGTGGATAAAAACAAATATTAATTAGGCCTACCTTATTAAAAATAACTCTTTATGCATATGAAACATGGTGATATCAATTAGGATTTAGTTCAACTTTGAAAAATACAAATTTTATCAGTCTAAAACATTAGTCTTTCTACTTAAGTATCAAGAAACAATTTTTAAGTCTTGTGTTATTTTAAAAATGATTTTGGAATGACTTGTTTTGGCTATGTTTAAAGTAGAAAAAACATGTCTCGCACTGCTTACAATTAACCCTCCAAATGTTAAGCGTCGTAAAAGCGACTCATAAAACACCCGCCGTGGTGTATTGCGACTCACAAACACTGTTTACGGCGACGGCTCTAGGACTGACTGAATCGGTTTGAACTGGATCGAGTTAGGTATCGTTTTTTTTTTCAGCAGATTCAGAGCTTTCTCCTGATGTCTGTTTCTAGACGCTTTTCATTTTAGTTCCTAAAATATTGTAGCAGACAGCTGACGTGCGTATTTGTAAACAGCTTGGTTAACCTCACACCGATGACTGATGTGTTTTATTAAGTTTATCATTGTTTTAGTGTTAAAAATTAAAAGTAGTGATATACGTGGTGCATTATAAAAAGATTTAAGTGATTTTGAAGGGCTGGTTGATGATGCTGAAGAAGTTGGTAGTGATATTCATGTAAATTATCAGCCAGATTCCTAGCTATGGTTAGGCTATGCATTCTTAGCTAAACGCTATGTACCGAAATCTGTTTTTTGCCCATAACTTATTTATTTGCAAACCTACTTCTTAATATTATTATATTTTTGGAATCCTCATAAAATTCCGAACAAAGGGCTATTTTAAAATATTTGTAGACCTATAAATTATAACAATTTATTGAGTGGAAACATACATTTTTTTCATTTATTTTATAATTTTTTAGAAATGTTAACCCCACAAAAATTGTTGAACATTTTTTTTGTAATGTTTTATATGTACATTGAAGCCCATCATTTTCCAAACAAAATTATATATAAAACAGTATACTTTACATTGTTTTTAAGTTTCTAAGATACATTTTAATGAAACCCTGCGATTGCGCAATAAATGGGTGAACATTAAGACCAAAACTATAGACACTGGGGGGTTAACAAAACTTTTCATCATTTGTGATGTCAAAACAAAAATTATAAAAAAATGAAAGCAGTATTTAAATGTAAAGAATTAATTGAATAAGAACACCTTTGCAAAGGAAACGCAACAACGCGCTCAACAACAAATTTTAAGGACATTTAAAATTTAATTTAAAGAAGGCTAAAATTTAGAACCAGGACGCAAACCCACGACATCTCTGCTTTGAATTCGTAGTCCATCACTATACTGAGTAAAATGACTGATCCAACACCTTACAAATACAAACCTCCTTCTTATCCTTGGGACTGAGTGGGCCGAGTGTCTTGCGCATGTTGTTGCCTGTGTACGCCACACACTTGAGTTGCCACTCTCCGATGTCTTCATTCCAGTGTGCGTGTCGCTCAATCATCTCCTGCAATACAATTACTGTTTTTAACTCGTTAAACAATGAACAATTAAAATCTAATTTAGTTTCCAAATAGTATTTAGATGCTGGTGGAAGACGATTTGTAACAGTTGAAACAATGCCTTTCCAGTTTTAATAAAATAATTTGACTATTAGGGACAAAAAACTTTTATTTTAGTAAAATACAATAAATAGCTAAATGTGTATGACTTAAGAAATTGTTTCAAGAAATTAATGCGGATATTATTATACTGTAAGTGAATAATGTCACAAGATGGTGCTCTAACGTGCTCAGTCTCGCTAGAGCCCTCTCCTTGTTCATAAGTTCTCTAATTTTGTTGTTATTTCTGTACTATTTCTTTATTTAAGGTCTTTTGTGTTTTATCTTTGACAACTATAAAGTTCTATGTGTGGATTTATTTGTGATTCTCAAGATTTAGCTATATTTTTGTATACCGGTACTAATCTTGTAATGTTCTAGGTGCTTTCTCATCTAAGGAAGGGATTAGATTTCATATTCTGAACCTTTGTGAAAACTTTGTTATATATACTAATTGTAATAGTAAAATGTCAGAATTTTTTTCTTAAAACATATTGGCATACTTATTACACTTAGTATCGGCAAAAATTAACTTCAAGCACATAGTCTGAATGAGTGAGAGCCAACTGCAATGATGAAACGTTTACGGCAATTCAACTACATGTGTAGGGAGGAGGAATTTGTCTCAGCACTGTTAAACACACTCAACATAGGGTTCCCCATAGAGTGCTAGAAGCAATTGTTTTAGCTGTGAAAACGCCTGATCCACATGCAACTCATAAAACACCAGTTCCTTATATTTCCAGATGTATTTCTTATTTATTCGACTCACCCTGTATTGGTCGGGTATGAACACCTTCTCTATGGTCTCCTGTAAAGCCAGTTCTTTGGTAAGTTGTCTAACATTGTCCAACAGTCCCTCCATTTCTCGCTGGTTTTCTCCAGTCACGTCCTTCAGTTCCTCCTTGGCAGACATCAGCAGAGCTGTCACCTTCTTCAGCTTCCTAGTCAGACCGGCAGCCTCTTCCTGCAGTGATGAGTACCTCTCTTCTATGTTGATCCGTTCAGCCTGGAAAAAGTAATATTACTAATTTGTAACGTCTAGTTAGACATTGAATTGTCCAATTTGTGTGTGTTTATAAAAGTATTTCGTATTGAGATGATTCACTCAGCTTACAGACATTAGCGTTCCTCATGAGCTTAAGGGAAACTTTTTGATTTGGGACAGGTAAAGTAATGTTTAGTACAGGCAGAATTGAGCTATTTTTGTATCCATGTAAATCCATTAAAAATTACCGCATGAATTTGTATGTGCCTACCTCTTTTCTCTCCAGCTCCCTTTGCAATTGTTCCTCCCTACTCATCCTCTGCTCCAGTTCTTGAGCTGATGCTTCCAATAGCTTCTCCTGTTCTTCAGCCTTCTCTAGTAGATTTTCTCCTCCGACCAGTATCTTCTTCTGAAGGTTTTCCAGCTTTTCTTTCAGGACATTGACTTCTGACCTGTTTCAACCATGTATATTTAGTCTATGAGATGATCAGTATGTGTTCACCTGTTGTTGTGGTAGTCAGTGGGAGATATGATGCTTCGACAGGTTGGTGAGGTGAGAATTAAAGAAATATCATTTAGAGGTTTGGACACAGTCAAGGTGTTTCAGGTTGAGGTGGCAGGGAAAGTCACAGTGGGTTTGGACACTGTAGGAGGTATCTTAGTTTAGGCTAGCAGTAAATCACAACTTCTGGAGAATTAAAGCTGGAAATTTAGAGCTTTGGGGTTAAGAAGAGGAGTGGGTATGTAAATAAGGTTGAGGCAGATGACTGAAGAGTACAATCATACCATTGGGATGAACCAGGGATAGCAGGGGTTGATTAGGACAAAACACGTGGAGAAAGATAGTAAATAGATGGCTTTCGGACAATGCATGAATAATGTGTCATTCACCATGATACAAATACACCAGGTGCTGCTTTCCAACAGAAACTTCTATGTTAACTTAATATCACACAAATCAGCTTGCATATCCAATTTTTAAGACACTAAATTGATTTTTTCTTCAGTAAAAGGAAACATTTTAAAACCTGACAAAATCGACAACAGACTATAAAACCGACCCATCCCTACTTTTTTTCAAAAGTTCCAGTACTTACGCTGCCACAGGAGTGTCCGGGTGACTAGATTCGTCACCTCCCCCTTCCTGCACCCCCTCCAAGGCATCCATGGTAAGTGGCTCTACCCTGTGTAGTCTGTCACCTTCACTGTCCTCACCCTCACCATCCGAGCCACTGCCTTCTGTAAAGTTGCAGTATGACGTAAATTCCAGGGGAAGGAATTAAAAGATATTCACTTGACAGGCTTGGCCTACTCCTAGAACAAGCCTCTCTCAAATTTCATCCCTGACGAACTCAAAAGGTGCCAATAAAAATCCAGGGGTTGATTCAAAAGCTGGTCCACAGCTTCAAATTACTGACTCTGAACATAAAATTTAATTTAAGGCTCAGAGCTCTAAAAGCCCTCTTGAATCTCTTAGGATAATTATTTAATTTTGTAAGCTTAGAAAACTAATAACATTTTATTGGTTTTACCTTGATTAAATTGGGTAGTATTTACCTTACATCCGAGCAGGCCATCGAAAATATTTCCCGACACTTTACTTTGATTGAACGCCTTATCTTGAACAAGGCTACTGTCCCTTAACAAAGTAGCATAACAATGTGGACTGTGGAATATGAATTAATCTTCACTTAGATAATCATCCAGCGAATAGCTCAATGTAGAATACAAGAACTCAAAAGTAACCCTAAAAACTTCTGCACTCAAATTCCACTCGGTTAGCATTGTCTGTTATCCTAACTGAGTTACCGTATATGTATCAAGTTTATGTGTTTGTCAATCTTAAATGTTTACTTTAAAGTGTATAAAATGTGAAAATCTTAATTTGAAAAGAGAAAACATAATTTAAACAACCTCGTAATGGCTCCATGAAAGAGCTGTAACCAGTTGCTTCTAGCAATAAGTTATGTGTAAAACAATTCTGCCCCAGAGCCTAATGTCCTACGAAGTGAATGTGAGAGATAAAAAAGTGTGTCTCACCAGCCGGAGCCACCCCGTCCTCTAGTTGCTGCCTCAGCACCTCTATTTCCAGCTGCAGTTGCCTCAGCAATGCGTCCTTGGGGTCCTCGTTTATACGAGCTCTGTTGCAGATGTTCTTGGCGCGGTTGGCGTACCTGAGTGTGCTGATGGTCTCATCGTAGTTGTAGTTGGCCGGCCCCACTGCTGCCACCTGTATCATAAAAAACAAAACATCTCTAAGCATAGTTACTGATCTAAATTTGACCACCAACAACCTGACTTTGAATTTTTCTATTTTGAACCATAATTGATGGAAAACCTCAATAATCAGTGAGGTAATTTGCCTTTATCAAAATATTTACAGTAGGCTCCCAATTAATTATCCATGGGTGGATTGACCTTACTGCAGCTGCTTACTTCATTGACTATCGATGAATCACCGATTACAAACATAATTTGATAAGTAACATTTTGTATGTGTTTTCATCTGTGTAACCTAATTACTAGCCTATACATAAGCTCTTCAATATTATTTGTTTTGAGAATATACACACGTGTGAAACAAAGTTCAAATCACTAATTATGACAATGAGCATCAAACTTTCAAAAGTTTTCATTCTACTTGTACGTACCATGACTGTTTTGGAGTTGCCACCCAGCGAGTCCTGGAGGATCCTGGTCAGTTTGGAGTTCCTGTAAGGTATGTGGGTACACTTGCCGTCCACCAGGGCGGAGATAACGTTGCCCAGTGTAGACAGTGAAAGGTTGATCTTGGTGGCTTCAGCTAACCTTTGACCTGTTGCCCCTGTCTTGCTCTGTCTCTCAGAACCCTGCAATGAGTCACACCATCAACATGTGTAAATGCATCAACACTATCAGTATGGGAGAGCAAGCTGGTCTAGTGGTCGGACTCAGGGCTTCAGAGTCTGAGGTCCTGGGTTCAAATCCCCCCAATGGATATTATCCGGGAGCTCGGGGCTTCAGAGTCCGAAGTCCTGGGTTCAAATCCCACCAATGGACATTATCCATGTGAAAATGCGGAACTATCTGGTTCCTGGCTAGAACCTAGCGTCCAAACAAAACTACCAGTACAACTTGTATTACCGTATTTATTATTATATTTTCTATGATAATTAGTGATAAAAGCATCTTCCTGTAGCATCTTTTAAGATTTGTTTCATCATTCCAAGCTTATAATGTAGCAAAGCGTATAGAAGTACTATTTTACTCACAGCCAGATCGACCAGGTGAAGTCTCCCCATCTTGACATGTTGTTGCTTGTCTTCTCGAACAACACTGGTCTCTACAGTGATGGAGAATATTGCGTGTGATCGAGAACTTTCTACGTTCATCGCCGTCGCAGCCACCACCCCTGTAACACATCAGTAGTACAATCTTTCCAAACATTTTTTCCTGATGTAACAATTCACAGGAGAAAAATATTTTGCGTACAGATGCAATATGTCTATTGTTTGTTTCCCTTATTTGTTCAACAATAAGAAGAACAAATAAATATAATTTTATTTTTTTAGAGGTTGGCCTCTAACGTTGCATCTATTTTGCCCTTTTAATGTTGCATTTGCCTGTCTACATGGGCCACATTGCTGAGCAGTGGCGGATCTAGAACAGCCACACGGTAGGGGGGGGGGCGAACCAGGGGGTCTGGGGGTTCGGGGGTATTCAATAAAAAAATTGTGTAAACTAAGTCTCCAAAATGGCAGTTTTTTACCATTTATTTGTCCAAAGTTGGTGTAACAAATTATTTTACGCAATTTGTATGCACTACTGTATTACATGCAGTAAAAATTATATGTATATGTATGCCCGAGGGGGGGGGGGTCCCCCATTTGCCCCCCCCCCCCCCCGGATCCGCCACTGTTGCTGAGAAGGATAGGACCCCAATTGATCCTTACAATAATAGAGGGCTTGCAAATGTAAAAAGTATTTTCTAATGTTGTGCTAATAGACTTGAACAAAAATTGTGCTGAAGGCTACTGCTCAAGTCAATATATTTTATCAGTAGGTTAGTTTATGAGATTGTTGAAGGACAAAATTGTTCCAAAGGAGCTGGATGATTCCAGTTAGGGTTATGTTTATTTTTTTTCAATATCGGCATAGAAGCTATTTAAAAATGTGGTATTAGTGTGGGCCAAATAATTATGAAATTGTCAAATACTATAGGCTATTTTCAACAAAGATTTACGTAATTTTTCTAAATTTTTGGATTGTAAGTTTTACGTGACCACAGGGAAGTCCCCTTAAGGGTGGGGACTACTTGTATTAATTTAGCCTAGAGTGGCTAGTACCCTTAGTCCCAACTGCCTGCACCTCAAACTCAGTTGAACTAACAGTTTAAAAGTCACAAATATGACTTACTGTTTTTGTTGCCGAGCGTCATTATGCGGTCCATGTCGTCAGCGTTGTTGACAATGTAGGTGGACAAGTCTTTGACAAACACTCCCACGTCTGGCCTCTCCTTCACCTCCAGCTTAGCTGAGCTCTTGGTCAACAAGTCACGAATCTCCTCGTTGTAAATCTCAAAGTAAGACACTCGCACCAGGAACCTGAATCATCAATGATTAAAACATTGAGTTAAGAATTTCAGTACAGCAATATTGGTTGGGACTTCTCTTTAAATTATCTGGATTAAAGTTGGCCTAAAAGATTATGTAAACAACTTTTCTAATAATCATAATCAAGCCCTATCAAGTCACGAAGGCATTAAAATCAGCTTTGATAAAACATTAAAATAAAAGGTAAATTATATATTTGGCCAAGGAAAAGAGACATTAGTCATGTCGGTAAAAAGCTTCAGGATATAATTGAACTCATATATTACTAACATGATGGTACTTATTTACCTCAGTCAAGAAATCTAATGTCTTTAGCTATAAGTAGACCTGCATGTTTTGCTGCAAATACGGCAAGGTTGCAAAAACACAAGTGACATAAACATAACACGTTCATCAATAAATAGGCTAAATTCGAGACAAACATTTTGATTTAATATTGATAGGCCTATCACACAACATGTGCATTCATTTCATTCTGTTTCATAACATAACCATGTAAATATATTTTTTATTTAGGGCTGTTACATAACAGCCAACTCTTTCTATTATTAGGCAGTCTTGTACACACAACCATAAAAAAAAATACTGGAGGATAGTATTAAGAGTGTACCAACTGTGTAACTTTTTGAACAAAGTATTCACCACCAAAATGTACTATTTAAAGTTTAGGTAACACCACACTCAAGTAAGTAAAATTAAATTAAATAAAAAATTCTTTATTTTTTCAGGCAAACAAAGGGATACAAAGCCCATTCTTACACTTAACCTGAAGTGCGTTCAGGGTGATTTTGTCTCGTAAATATATACCAAAGTTTAACTCACTTGGTATCTTCATTCGCTTTGGCAATGTGCCCGAATATGTGGGCAAACGAGTTAGGGATGATCCCCTTGAGTTCAGGTTCGGACCGTACGCCCTCCATGGTGAATGTTTTGCCCGTGCCGGTCTGTCCGTAAGCAAGTATCGTCCCGTTGTAACCGGCGAGCACTTTGTCCACAATGGGCCGAGCTGTTTCATTGTACACATCTAACTGAAAATACAAAGTAACTGTAATGGTCTTAACATAAACAAATCTTCTTAACATAAAATTATTTAGCTTTGTACAGTAGACTCTTGCTCATCCGGATCAGCCTTGTCCGGACTCCCGGTAGTCCGGATCGGCAATCGTGATTTTTTTTTAGCGGCACAGTACAGTAGAAGTCTGATTATCAGAGCGAAACAGGACCGAGACTACCTTGAATAATGAAAAAAATCTGATAACACAGCGGTAAAAATAATTACTGGTGGAAGTGCATATGCCCGGGCTATTATTACTGTGGACCTGGATCAAAATTCGGACGAAAAAATTATACTGGTGGAAGTGCATATGCCCGGGCTATCATTACTGTGGACCTGGAATAAAATTCGGCCGGAACAATTACAGTATTACCGGTGGAAGTGCATATGCCCGGGCTATCATTACTGTGGACCTGGAAAAAAAATTCGGCCGTAAAGATCATTACTGGTGGAAGTGCATATGCCCGGCTATCATTACTGTGGACCTGGAACTAAATTGAAAAAACGGCTATATACAGTACTATGTATTTGCTCGACTCTCGATAGTCCGGATTTTTCGTAATCCGGACCGGACGTCCGCCACATTAGTCCGGATGAGCGAGAGTCTACTGTAATTGAAATAGGTAATAAGAATCAATTTAGGTCTAATTCAACAGGGCTTATTTTCAGGAAAAACTTTTATTGAGTAGTTATTGCTCTTGTAACCTTTGTATTACTAAGCTTCCTTAGCAATCTACTAGTCAAGGAAGAGGAAAAGTAGCCTAACATGGAAAATGAAAATTATGATTAGATGTTAAACCCCTCCAACTGGCTAAGCCACACATGTAGGCTTATGGATTTCACTTGTAAGGGAATCATAACAGAGCAAGAAGAAAGCTCAGCGATAAACACTTATCAATGCAACGCCTTTTAGACAACTGAACTATCGCTATCAAGTCCCTGTTGTTCAATTGGGATGAGTACAAATATAAGGATGTGCGAGACTAGTGCTCCCAGTTGGGATTTTACGAACCAATTAAGTGCCAGCGGGTTAGCAGTTTGGCTAGATCACCGCAAAATACCCTGACAATTGGAGGTGTCATTGATATAGGCTAATACACAATAATAGGCTTCAGTTTATGTGCCTGGACTCTGAGGCCATCCCCTCATAACGGGTAATTTTTAAAACTCAATTAATTTGCATGTTGATAATGATCTTATAGTACCAGTACCTTTATTCCCCTAAGTAGGCTTAATTTTTTGTGTGTAAGTTATCCTTAAAAACAAAAAATGCCTTTTCTCAATCACCTTAAATAGAATTCATATTCTGCTTACCTGCTTTGAATCTGTGTCAAAAACAATATCAAACGTAAAGGTTTTAGGAGGTTCTTGTGGAGGAGCTTGCGGATTAGTTACGGCTATTGTTCCAGTGACAGGGTTTACTGATATAACACTGTTGAATCCATTCTCTAATTCGTCTCTGCTTAGAGGCCTCACACGAATCACAACTCGGACATTTTCAATCTCCTCGCACAATGTAAGACTGCTTTTGTTGCTTTTCTGCATAATGGTACAATATTCACATCAGTTACAGATAAAAAATTATTATGAGATAACCTATAGTAATAGTTTAAAGTTATTTATCCCCAACTTGATGTTAGTATATGAATTAAAAAGTGTTTGGCTAGCCTCTTAATTTAGATCAACGCCTGTTATTAGAGAGGCGGGATTGATCCCATGTATTTAGCGCTCCATCTCTCTATAGCAAATTGCAAACGGTACTCTTTTACTAACCATTAGCAGCTAGTTAGTAGGCTACCTGAAAGTAACATTAAGCTAGTGGGTAGCATCCAATGGATATGGAAATTATTATGTAATTACTCAGAAGTTAACTAAAGCTTAAGTTGTAAATATATGTTTGTTATTGATGAAGTTTTATTTTTAAATGTTTTACATTGTACATCCAGCCCTGGCTGCATATATGAAGAAGAGAAGACGGTAATAATATTGACTATAACAGAAAATAGACTTCCCAAGTAGGCCTAATGTAAACATTTGAAGCCAAAAAAAGTGGTGCAATCTGTTGAGATGGTCACTAGAGACAATATTCTGTGTTAAGCGATAAATCAATCAGCTGTTTGCTATGATATTGCATTGATTTAAATTATTATTTAACCCAATACACTAGTAAACTCTGGCGAGATAGTCCTGAACTTCATCTATTTTCTTGGCTTCAAACTTTTATCACATGGGAAGTCAATGGTAATAATGAGGAAGAACAGTAAGGGTAATTTCCTAGGCCAACTACTGATGTGTTCTATATTGTGGAAGGATGTCATCATATTTTCACGATCTCAGGAGGTGGTGATGATGTCTTTGCGACAGGGGAGGAAAGAGGGATATCAAGATCTTCACATGCTCGGGTGAATATTGCCCCAATCATAGGAGGCGATGCCGACGATCTCTTTGCGACAGCTTGGGACCAGTGTTTCAGAGTAGCGGATTTTTATCCCCTTTGCGAACGTGACGTCACAAACCAGGGGGTAAAATTCCGGCCGCAAACTTTTGGGTTTTGCGACATCAGTTCGATGGATTAAACGCTGAATTAAACGTATATTTTCACGGTTGTGAATTTAATCAGAACACATCAAATTATAAAAACCTAGAGTGTAAAGGGCGGAATTTTACCCCCTTCATGAGGTCAGCTCAAAATGTACGGCTCGGATTTTTACCCCCTGGCCAGATATATAAATTAGTGAGAATGGTTAATTATCTTCATTCAGTTTTAATTTAATAGTAAACATTTTATTATTAAGTAGCCTTAATTTATATTAATTTATTTGTAACATCAGATAAATCGAACAGGTTTTCAATTTTAATTTTGAGATTCAAGTACCGGTACATCAGGATTAGATCTTTGAAGCCAACTGTTAAAGATGACGTATAAACAAACATCAGAATAGTAATTGATTCAAAGATTTCTTTAACGATTTATTATACAACCGTGGTAAAACAATGTTTTTCGTTTGTATTTTAACAAAACAAAATATGCCTCATAGCCTAGACTTTTATTACTTTTTGACCGGAAAGGGCTAAAGGCTATTCTCTACGAAGAAAAGTTCACCCAATTATCATTTAAATGAGCTACTCAGTTTATTTTACATACTTATTAATCAACAGTTGGCCCCAAACGCAAATCCCAAACATCAAAATTAAACAGCGAATTCTGTTTATTTATGCCTAGTTGAGATTACAAAATAAAAAAAATAAAGATAGGCTACTTAATAATAAAATGTTTACAATTAAATAAAAATACAAATAGAAAAATTAATCATTCTTAATAATTTCTATATCCGGCCAGGGGGTAAAAATCCGGGGGTAAAATTCCAGTGGGTAAAATTACGGGGGGTAAAAATCCAGCCCGTACATCTTCAGTTGTCTAAACGCTAGTTATATGGACAGGGGGTAAAATTACGGTTTTTATTGCTAACCTAATTAATCACGCTATGTCTATTTTCATTAGACTTCCAAATCCGCAGGGGTAAAATTCCGCCCGCGAACAAACTTTGAGCGCTCAGGTTACTACGATAGTGATGTCAGTATGCCAGTAGAGCATTACACTAGTGCCAGCTCTAGGGTTAAATGGTGAAAAATCCCGTTTTATATCGCATGATTTTTTTTATACAATCCCGAAGATTCAAATCAAATCAAATCAAATATGCTTTATTCATAAAGTACAGTTTTGTACATTGAATGGCGTCAACAAACTTAAATCTATCTTAAATTAATAATTTACAAATTTGCATATCTTGGATCATTATGTACATTAAAAACCAAGAACCAGGAAATGAAAATAATAAAAACTGAATTAATTACTAACGCTAAGAAGGGAGGTGGAAAAATACTCTTCCAGGGAATATAACGCTTTCTCTACTAAATAAAGTTTTAGTTTTTTCATGAAATTCTTCCTGCTTTGTTCATTTCTGATTTCATTAGGAAGATGCTTAAAAAATTTTAATCCTATATAGGATGGTTTTTTTTCATAGAATTTTAATTTGTGTTTACTTGAAATAAGGAATTTTTTATGCCGAGTGTTGTATGGGTGATAATTTGTCTCAGAGGTGCTCAAGGAGTTTTTTGCTAGAATAATTGTGTCGTAAATGAATTGGCCATATACCGTTAAAATTTTCAGTTCTTTGAATTTGTTTTTGGTTGTTTCGTTGTGTTCTAATTTCAAAATTATTCTTATTGCTATTTTTTGAAGTTTAAGTATCCTATCCAAATTTGCTATTGTAGTTGAACCATAAAGGCACAAACCATAGGATAAATGCGAATGGACATTAGCATAATATATGTTTTTTAATGTTTTATGGTTACAAAAATAAGACATTCTAGAGAGTGAATATAGTCCTGAACATAATTTTGAAAGGAGTTTATCAACATGTTCATCCCAGTTTAAATTTTTGTCCACAATTAGACCTAGAAACTGTGTACTTTGTTTATGTTCAATTTCTTCTGCATTATACATGATATTTGGTTTAATTAACTTTTTGTTTTGATTTGTTTTAAAAGTTAAAAAATTAGTTTTTTTGGGATTAAGCTTCAATTTGTTTTGCTCTAGAAAGTTTCCAATGTTTGCCAATTCAACAAAACTCAAAATTTCAACTTGTTGAACTGACTCAGCCGATACTTTGAGATTTGTATCATCCGCATAAAAACAAAGATTGTTCTGAGGCAAACATGAGAGTGCACCACCAGCATCATTTATATAACATAAAAACAACAGGGGGCCAAGGATTGACCCCTGGGGTACCCCACATTTAACCCTTTCAGTTTCAGAAGAAAATGTCGTAATTCTGTTATCATGATTATGTGTGATTTCTACAAACTGACAACGATTATTTAGGTATGACTGAAACCATTTTATTGATTTTTTTGTAACCCCTAAAATGAGTAATTTATCTATCAGTTGGGTGTGGTTGACACTATCAAATGCCTTAGTTAGGTCCATGAAAATTCCAATTGTGAACTCCCCTTTATCAACCGATTCAATTATAGATTCTATGAATGACACTGCTGCTGTAATTACAGATTTTCCAGGCCTAAATCCATGCTGAGTATTGTTTAATAGTTTAAATTCTTCTAAATAATTTAATAACTGACTGTTAACAATTTTTTCATAAATTTTTGATATTACTGGTAGGAGAGAAATAGGACGGTAATTTGACACAGTTTCTAGGTCGTCTTTCTTATAAATTGGTATTATTTTAGATTTTTTAAATTGATTTGGAAAAATTCCTGATACAAAAGATGAATTTATTAAATGACTTAAAATATGGCTCAGACATTTTTTGGCATGCTTTATAACTTTAATAGGGACATCATCGTGTCCAACAGAATGTTTGTTTTTTAAAGAGTTAATTACTTTTTCCACCTCCCCCGCATCAATAAATTTTAAATCAAAACCTCTTTTAATACATTGCTCATTTTCAATAAGACTTTGATTTTCAATCTTGCTCTCACATTGGTTGCCACTGACATCCTGATCAACATTAGTAAAATATTTGTTGAACATGTTAGCAATAGTTCTAGGATCACTTAAGCTACAATTTCCCTCTTTCAAAGTAATATTTTTATTTCTTGTTCCCTTTCCTTTCCCAACTTCAGAATTTATAATCTGCCATACTGTTTTTTGTATATTGGCTGATTTTTGTATTCTATTTTCAAAATAATTTGTTTTAGCTCTGACTAGTTTTGCCCTATATTTCAGTTTGTTTTGTTTCAACTCGTATTTCAAGGCAGGATTTTTGTTTCTACGAAGTTTTAAGGCCAATTGTAGTAGTGCTTTTTTTTCATTTTTCAGGTCTTCTGAGATCCAATTTTGTTTGCGTTTCTTTTCTGTTACAGTAATTTTGGGAAACGAAATGTCAAAAAAATACTTAAATGTACTATAAAATTCATCATATTTTCTTTCAACAGGAGCCATGTAAACACTCTCCCAAATCTCATTTTCCAAGAGGTTTTTAAATAAATTCAAATTTTGAATATTAAAGTTACGAGTTGTACGTTTTATAGTTGATTGAACCTCTTTTGTATTATTTAGGTTTTTATTTTTTATAAGGAGCAATTGCCCATCATGATCTGATAGACTAGTTACAATTCCCTCAACAGTCACTTTGCAATCATGACAGTTTTTAATTATAAAGTTATCAATTGCTGATTCAGATTCCTCAGTAACTCTAGTTGGGAAATTGACCAGATACCTCATTTTATGAACTTTTAGTGTTCTTTTTAGTAATTTATGATTAGGGTTATTTTTTAGAACATTAATGTTTATATCCCCTCCTAAAATTATATTAACAAACTTTTTGGAAAAGTGGGAAATTAACATGCTTAATCTATCTAAAAATATTTCACAATTTTATGAGCTAGGTGACCTATACACTCCAATTGCCAAAATTTTAAATCCGTTAATTATATAGCTACAGGCACAAAATTCGAATTGCTTATCTTGAAGTAAACTACCAGACAACCAATTTGGAACATCCACCCGCTTCCACTTCAAACCCTTCAGGGAAAGCATAACGACGCCACCCTTGAAACATGTTTTTCTACAATAAAAATTGTTTACATCATAATCTTGTATATTGAGTCTGTTAATTTCATTTTCCTTCATATCGTGTTCTGTTAAGATTACGATATGAGGAGTTAATTCATTTATAGTGACTAATAAAGGTTCGATCCTTGAAGGTAAGTGCTGAATATTTTGATGGAATATTTTTATTAAATTTTTTTCTGTTTGTACGTTTTTGTTGAGATCATTATTACTGTTGGGTTTAAAGTGGGAGCGGGAGTCGCCATTACAAATCATGTTGCCATCACTTGCACTGGAGCTTCCAATAAAAAACCAGAGACCACTTCTTTTACACTTTCACTGCACTCTGGGCCATCAGGAACCATTTTCTTCAAGCTGGAATTCCTTCTGCAGTTGTCATTTGGTGTTGACGTCGTTGGACATAAGGGTGGAAATTCACTCATTGAAGAGAAGCTAGGCGACTGGACACAGTTTGACTATGTCTTCCTCTGACACTTTTGAGAGACAGCATCAGGCGAGATCTCTTCAGTGATCTGTAAAGTCTGAAGTTGATTGGAGATGTCATCACGCAAATTCTTGATGAAATCGTCATGTGTCTTCCCATTTCTAATCACAGTGTTAGATTTTTGAAAATGAGACACTATTTCTACAGATGCTCCTGTACTCCGCTGAAACTCACAAATACTAGTGGCAAATTTGTCAGTTCCCATCTTATCTCGTACAGTCCCAATCGGAGAACACACCAATCTTTTTAATCCCCTTTTTTTGAAGTCCTCAGCGAGTTGCTTGAAGGCAAGCTTATAGTCTTCTATCTTTGGTTTTGCAAAGTACTGGGGTTTGGTCACAAGGGAGTAAACTACAGCTTTTCCTGGTGATCTTTGTAGGGTTAAATGACTGCTCAAGTAATTTGATTTGAAAGGTCTTCCGTACTTTTCCCTAAAAACAACGGCGACTCCGGCTGTCATATTGCGCCGGCAATTCAAGTCTGCAGAAATACTATGCGCAAAGGCAACCTCCTCATCGGCCCCGTACTTGTGAATTAGATTCTTCATATTCGTTTCATTTATTGTGAAATGGTTATTGATAACCCATTTTTTCTTTTCCATACTACGATTTATGACATTTAAGATCATATGGGCTACTCTCTTTTTCCCTCCTTGATTTAGGTGTAATCCATGTCGACTGTAATGATGACGTTTTAAAAAGTCAAGATCAATTAGATACAAATTAACTGATCGAACAGCCAGCTCCCTAATGTAGTTGTTCAGAAGCTTGATATCATTATGAATTGGGTTATTGATGCCCACGTCATATCGATGGATTATATTTAACGTCCCGGTATCACAGTTAAAAAGTCGTTTAAACATAGGTAACCATTATATTTTGCTACCTATTCTCAACCGCCTGTTGGTGTGGCAGCTAGAGGCGGCGACGCATTCAACTCAATCCTCGCCAACATCGCTGCCTTCTAGGAGGCAGAACTCAAAGGCCGCTAATTGTAATAATATCAAATTTGGACAGTAAGTAAGTCTTAATAAAGTAGGTAGGCCTATGTTTTTCCATTTATGATAACCCAACCTAATATAACCACCGCAGCGCACTGTTTAAGGGTGGCCTCCGGGTAATACCAAAGTACCTTCCAAATTTGTATTGGAAAACGAAAGTTCTTAATAAACATTCTGTAAGTTATTGACCTGTTGTTCATAACTTATCTGGCTGGAGCCTACTTTAACTTAAAGCTTAGGCTGAGACTAATAAGTAAACGGAAAGTAAATAAAAGAAATGTCTTATAACACTTAAAACATATATTTACGCTTATACTGTTACTCACAAGACGGTAAATATACAAATACCCCCGCCGCAGCAAACCTGCAGACTAAGCGAATTTCCATTTGACTGATTGGATTAACACTGAACTACTTAAAAATATAACATTTATTCCCTATTTAAATAGAATTAGTTTAACAAGTAATTAGGTTTGCTGCATCAGGGAGGGTAAAACAGTTTTTTTTTTTGTAAACATTTTCCAAAATTTGATCAAAATATGTTCATAAACAAGCAAATTTTAAATTTACAATTTTTTTGGAATTTTCTCCGTAGGTAACCATTAGGCGCATAATAACGCTTCAATATACTAAATTATTTGTTTTTTTAAGATCTACAAAATTGTTTGGAAAGAAATTGCTAAATTTTATGTTTTTTGGGTCAAAAATGGGAAAAACCTATTTTTATCCCATAAAACCCCGTTCCCATGGTCCGATCAAGCTGGATCGCAAACTCGTTCGAATAAACGTAGGTTTACACGTTTGTACCAAATTTCATCAAAATCGGATCATTTTTGCTCGAGTTATCGTGCTAACGGACACATATATATATATATATATACTAGCTGACCCGGCGAACTTCGTATCGCCTAAGTTATAGGTTTCCCCTAAGACAGACCGATGGAAAGAAAGTACCGTTACGTTTAATTTTCAAGATGATCTCGTTCGCATCGCTCAATCACGTCTTGGTTGAAGTTCGTTCGCTACGCTCACTCACCTTTGGGTTCTGCTCGTTCGCTACGCTCACTCACCTTTAGGTTGGAGCTCGTTCGCTGGCTCACTTGCCTTCAGGTTAGCTCGTTCGCTACGCTAACTCGCCTCCAGGTTGAAGTTCGTTCGCTACGCTCACTCACCTTTGGGTTGGAGCTCGTTCGCTACGCTAACTCGCCTCCAGGTTGAAGTTCGTTCACTACGCTCACTCACCTTTTGGTTGCAAATTAGCTGTTGTCATAAATGTAAAAGAAATAATAGTGCTGCACCCTGTTGGTAATCCTTGTAACTTTAATGCTATTGAACATCATAGAACAGAACCAACTTGTTTAATTGAAACAGCTGTTAAGATTCATTAATTCCATTTCTCATAAGGTTAACATGGGAAACTCCAGAGCCACTGGGGCGGAGCCCTTTTAAGAATTTCGAAACGGGAAATAGTTTACGTCCGATTCGCATACCTACAGAATTTACACACCAAATTTCATAACGATCGGTGAAGTCGTTCCGGAGGAGTTTGCAGACAAACACTGTGACACGAGAATTTTATATATTAGATAGGCTATATATATATATAAATATATAAACATATAAATATATATATATGAATTTGAACGAATGGTGTTTTTGGCCTCTAGGGACCTCAAAACGAAAAAAAAAATCGGTCCCGCGTCCAGGTCTTACCATGAGTACTACGGTAATAGCTTATTCCCTATATGGGAAATTATTCGCTAAAAAGCCTTGTGAGTACGGTAACAGTATAAGCGTAAATATATGTTTTAAGTGTTATAAGACGTTTCTTTTATTTACTTTCCGTAAATTTAATAACACGTACAATGCTGATCAAGAAGTTATTTAAGTAAAATCGGTACTTTCCTGTTAAAGGGAACATTCATTATTATCGATGATTTTTTCTCGATATATCGATATTAACAAATTGAAACATATCAGCTGACAACTACGCGATAAATATTGTTCAGTATCAACAAACAATATGAAATGAAACTGTTCTAAAAAAAATAACCTAACATAACTAACCAAACTTGCTATAACATTTAAAAATTCCGTGTTTAACTTGCCTTTCCTATTATCAAACCCAAACGGAATTTTTAAATGGTCCAGCAAGTTTGGTTGGTTATGTTAAGTTAGCTTAAATATTTTAGCCTAAACAAGATCAGTTAGTTGTTGTCAATTTGTAATGGATCGGAAAACAAAAATATCGATATATCGAGAGAAAAATCATCGATAATAATGAATGTTCCCTTTAACAGGAAAGTACCGTAAAATCACCCTATCCCTAAGTTTAAGGGAAACATGGCTAGGCCCTACCCTTAAACTTTTTAACTTAAGTTAGCCTACGGTACCTACTTTAAGTCCTACACTCATACGAATGAAAATATAAATTATTATTTGATTGTTTTATTCTATAGGCTATAAGTTATCGTTTGGTTAGTTAGGTTAGGTTAACCGTTAGGCTAAGCCTATAGTCCTAGGCCTAAGAAACAAAAGATTAGCAAATTATTAAATTTGTAAATAGATTACTTACTGCAGACATTGTCAGGCGCACTCTTTTTAGTTTAAACAAAAATAAATCTGTATATTAACTTGTAAGTTACTTTCCAACAAAATTTGCAAATTGTAAGAATATGGTTTTTGAATTTCAAAATATAACTCACTGTACACGTTTTGCATTAGGTAAAAGTTACGTTACTTTAGAACATTATTTCTTCATGACATGGACATAATAATAGCTTAGTCCCCAAACATTGAAGTATATTAGGCTATGATGATCCAACTAATAAATCAAACAGCTCAATTAATTCAAAGGGTCAAACATTACTTAGAAATTTGCAGCAAGTCTGTCAGTGTTGTCAGTGATATGATAAACAAACTGTCTGTCCTGTCGTCGTCTGTGTCTGTCTCTGTCAACAAAAGAACAAAGTAACAAACTGAAACTGGATCAGCCAGCAGAACACCTGGAACACCAGTCACAGTTCACAGTCACTATCAGTGTATCAGCACACTGAGCACAGCCACCTCAGTCAACGCTACCACTTTTAGTAGTACACAACAACAATGTTCGTTGGTAAACCACTGAGAAGTTAGTTTCGCCAAACAACGCTAGGTGTCACTACCATAGCTTCCAGGTTTGTAGATGTTCAGCTTGTCACCGCTAGGTGTCACTGAAATCGAACTATTTAATCACATATGTTGGTTATTCATTTTTCAATAGTTTAGACTTATTAAAAGATTAATAACAAAATTCTCTTGAACTAGAAAGATAGACAATAAGGCTATAAGTAAATCCATAGTAAATAAGAAATAAACCTTTGAATCAGTTGACTCTCGCAGTGACTTTAGCGTCGCTTGTACAAGACTACCCCTCTAATCACGTCACGTTGCTAGATGTACATCGACTTGCATTTGCATTGTGGAGGTGTGGACTGGAGACTCCCGACTGGAGATGGTTGTATGAAAATTCTTTACAAAGCCGAAAGTCGTGTCTTTTACCTGAGACCGATGATTGGCTTATAATTAATCACAATACGATGTTGTTTGGTATGATTGACTTTGCTTTGACACAAAACTTGGCATACCAAGCAAAACAACATCCACTGTAGCAAATCTCAGCCTTGAGTAGGTAATTGAATTAAAATCTATTGTGTATCTATACAGGGTGAATCTCGTAAGGTGTCCAGTATTGATTTCAGACAAACCGTTGGTCCTACGATGATGAAGTAAAATTATTTCCCACTAAACCAACCCCCCAGGAATACGTAAAAATATTTTTAACGATTTTTTAATACAGGGTGTACCAGAAACTGAGGGTCACTAGTCCGAATCTACGAAATATCAAATACAAACGTATATCATGTTATACATCAAATTAAAGCTCTTTTCAATCCAAACCATTTGGTGGAATCGGATTTTGATAATATTGATTCATCTCAAAATGGCGGCTGTTTTTGTGAAAAAATTAGTATTTTTTGAATACCCTGTGTTTCTTAAAAACGCAGATATCTTGATTCTGATCCAAATATCGCATTCCCTATGAGCTAAGACTTTATTTTGATATGCAACACTTCAATATTATCCCAAAAAAACAAAAAGTTTCAAAAATATCAGTTTTTGAAAATATGTACATAGCCAAAACTCAAAAATTTCAAATAGCACCATATGTCAAATAGCATATCATTTTAAAGGTATTTCAATTATAAGAAACTTTCAAATTTAAACCTCATGCGTATCTATTTTGGTTTTCAAAGTTATCAAAAAAACATGTTTTTCCACATTAAAACGCATGTTATTTATAAAACATGGTGGTAATAGTCAGCTGTTATTTAGTATTGTTGAGTTGTTTACATTAATTAGATGTTTCCATCTTAAGTAAACACAATGCATGTCTGAGCGGTTATTAGTTTTATTTTATTTCAAACAGTAATTAGTTTTCTTATTGTGTTAACTAGTTGGTTGTTATTTATGGTATTCAGTAACGAAGAAGCTTTTAATATGTTAATGGTTTTAGGTGAGTGTTTCCAGAACTTTAGTGCTGCCGAAAGACTGTATGCAGAGTGGTTTCCTATGATTTGCAACGCCAGTGCCGTAAAGATTTTGTACGTTTAGCTCAACGAGTAAGAACGACTGGAAACGTTCAGCCATCCAAAAAAAAGACTAAAAGCTATGCCAGTAAGACAGACAAGAGCACCGAATATTTTAGCTGCAGTAGAACTTAATCCTCATCTGTCTACCAAAGTTCTCTCAAGGGAATCCGGTATTAGCCAGATGTCACTGATGTCAGTCTGTAGGATCCTTAAGGCTAAGGATTTCCATCCATACCACATTTCGCTGCATCAAGAATTAGAAGCAGATGATTATCTACACCGCATTAATTTTGCTATTTGGGCTCAAAATGAAATTTCTAATGGTCCTAACTTTTGCTCACAACGTCATGTGGAGCGATGAAGCGACATTCAAAAGCAACGGTATCGTTAATAGACACAATATGCGGTATTGGAGCAGGAAGAATCCACATTGGCTACCGGAAGTGAACAATCAAAGACAGTGGACCCTTAATGTGAGGTGTGCGGTATTTAATGGGCAAATAATTGGTCCTCATTTCTTCGAAACGAATTTAAATGGTGTAATGTACAATGCATTCTTAAATGAAGAATTTCTCGAGCTGTTAAGGCCCATTCCCATCAACGTACAAAGAGAATGGTTCATGCAAGACGGTTGTCCAGCGCATTACGACGTTCGTCAAACTCTAACAGCGATGTTTGGTGATAACTGGATTGCGAGAGGAGGTCCCATCCCTTGGCCGGCTAGGTCCCCTGATTTAACGGTCATGGACTTTTACCTCTGGGGGAGACTGAAAGACATGGTGTATGGAACAGCTCCTACCACTCGAGATGAGATTAAAGAAAGGATACGGTTGGCGTGTAGTCATAGTCATAGTCAAGAATCTTTATTCATAGTATACATAGTTGTACATGAATAGTGTCAAATAAGTTTAAACTAATGCTTAAAACTATGATATCGCCATTTTCAATTCGTCTAAAGAATACAAGGACAGGTCCATTAAATATTCCTTGAGACGTTTTTTAAAAATGTTGGGTTTTTGTTCTGTTAAAATTTTCAAAGGAATAAATTTAAAAAATTCATGTTCTGCATTGACAGTCTTTTTTTAAGAGCTCTAATTTGTGTTTTCCAATTACAAAATTATTTTTGTTACGTGTATTGTAGTTATGATTATTTTCTTTAATTGGTGGAATAAAATTTTTGTTTTTGACAAACATAATACATTCAAGAACAAACAAACCATAAACAGTGAGGATCCTTAAACGTTTAAAGTGTTCTTTTGCAGAATCATCTTTGTTCATTTTTAACATAGCTCTGATTGATTGCTTCTGTATTGTCAAAATTTGGTCTAGATTCGAATTTGAGGTGGCTCCATATACACATATGCCATAAGATATATGGGATTGAATATGGGAAAAATAGATCATTTTTAAAACATCAACACTGCATAGTTTTGACATTTTTCTAATCGCACAAAGACCAGAATTTATTTTATTGATAACAAGTTTACAATGTTTCCCAAGACAAGTTGCTGTCAGGCCAAGGAACCTTACGGCTTCTGTTATTTCAATTGGTTGGTTATTTACTTCAATATTAGGATTGGAATTGTTTTTGTTTTGTTTTGTTTTGAATGTGACACATTTGGTTTTACTTTCATTTAATTTTAAATTGTGATTATTAAAAAAATCCTCAATACAAGCTATTTCTATTGTGGATAGCAATTCAACATCTTCTGCAGTTTTCCCAGATACTTTAAGATTAGAGTCATCTGCATAAAGATACAAACCTGTACATGGGGCAAAATTTAGACACTTTTTAAAATTTGTTAAGTAACAAATGAAAAGTAAAGGTCCCAGGACTGATCCTTGAGGTACACCAGATCTTATTTTGATATTATTTGAACTGTACGGTATTTTTATTTATAATTGTCTTTAGTGATGTGAGTTAAACCAATTAAGAGAGTTATACCTGATTCCAATTTTTTCTAATTTAAAAAGTAATAGTTCATGATTAACGCTATCAAACGCCTTCGATAAATCCATGAACACTCCCAACACGTGCTCACCCTTGTTAATTGACTCAATGACTGATTCGACAAAGCTAACAATCGCTGTAATAGTGGACTTATCTTGTAGGCAAATAAATGAAGAAGAAGTGCTGTAAACAACCTTCCTAAAAAGACTTTGAAATGGTTTTAGAAGTAGAGGCATTTGAGCATCTGTAAATAGTTTATCTAATAGCACCTAAGAATAACGGTAACTTTTGAAATATTTTATACACAAAAAGTTTGTTTATAGTGGTTTTGTAACAAATGTAACATAAAGAATATTTTTTAAGACAAGTTCTTTATTATTGTAGTTAAAATAAAATAATTGTATAACCTAATATTATTATTGTATAAAATAAGATTTACTCTATTCATGGGACTATTAAAAAGCCGGACCATAGTTCTAGGTGTCTGGCTGACGCGTGCGTAATATTGAATTTGCATTTAATCATATGTTAGCCCAAGTTTTGACAGATGGGGAATTAACACAGCAAATTAATGCGCATGCGTCAGCCAGACGCCTAGAACTATGGTCCAGCCTTTACCACCATGTTTAACAAATAACATGCGTTTTAATGTGGGAAAACATGTTTTTTGTTGACAACTCGAAAACCAAAATAGATACGCACGCATAAGGTTTAAATTTGAAAGTTTCTTAGAATTGCAATACCTTTAAAATGATATGCTATTTGACATATAGTGCTATTTGAAATTTTTGAGTTTTGGCTTTGTACGTAGTTTCAAAAACTGATATTTTTGAAACTTTTTGTTTTTGAGATAATATTGAAGTGTTGCATATGAAATAAAAGCTTAGCTCATAAGGAATGCGATATTTGATTTAGATTCAAGATATCTGCATTTTTAAGAAAAATACAGGGTGTTCAAAAAAAAAATTCACAAAAACAGCCACCATTTTGAAATGAATCAATATAATCAAAATCCGATTCCGCCAAATGGTTTGGATTGAAAATAGCTTTAAATTGATGAATAACATGATATACGTTTGTATTAGATATTTCGTAGATTCGGACTAGTGACCCTCAGTTTCTGGTAGCCTACACCCTGTATTTAAAAATCGTTAAAAATATTGTTACGTTATTCCTTGGGGTTGGTTTAGTGGGAAATAATTTTACTTCATCATCGTAGGACCAACGGTTTGTTTGAAATCAATACTGGACACCTTACGAGATTCACCCTGTATATACATATGAATTATACAATTTTGACCCATATGAATTTACTAGTCCAAAAATCCCGTTTTCAGGATAATAAGCCTGCACATAGATACACTGATGGACACAGATGCCAGGATTATTTGAGGAAACCAGCATGTTGATCCAAGGATCAAAGGAAAAAGCCCTCCAACACAACTTTCACTCTAAATAGCTTTAAAACACATTTTTACTGTCTAGGAGTTGAAATATATTTTTAAATAATTTATATACACATTTATCTTTATCTCAATAAACTTAGAACTTAGCGAGTTTAAATTATGACATTTCTCTTAATGGGCTATCATGCTTTCATGTGGTTTAAAACGGATGGATAAAAGGATACATAAATGTTAAAAACACTGCAAGTGGTGGTTTTTATTTTTACAATTTTACAATCACATTGATAATAGTTCATTACTGTCAATGTCTACAATTTTGATAACAAAACATTGCAAACCTTATTTTAGAGTAAAAAGGAAATGTTAGGATTAATATATCACATATGACAAAACTTGCTATTACTAAAACCACTGGCTAGGTAACTTATACTTGAGCTAAATGTATCTCAATCACCGTAAACACAACAAATAATAAAATTGTGTTTAAAAATCCGTACATAAACTTACTTTTACCAAAACCACTGGCCATGGTTAATACAACTGAATGTATTTCAATCACCACTAACACAACAGGGTAATAATAATACAATTGTGTCTAAGAATCTGTACAACATCAACCGTAGAAGTGAGAGAGAGATGGTAAAGATGGTACTCAGAGGTATACCAGAAGGAAGGAGACCATTAGGTAGACCAAGAATGCGATGGGTTGATGAGGTGACGAAGGACTTGAGAGGAATGGGAGCAGACTTGGAGCTGGCAGAGGATAGAAGAGCTTGGAGGCACATGGTTGGTGAGGCCATAAACCACCTAGGTTTCCAATGGCCACAGGAGTAAGTAAGTAAGTAATCTGTACAACATGTTTAACAAATAAAAAATGTCATTAAAATAATGTTACTCACGGTTTTATCAGTTAGTTTTTTTTTTTATGAAAAAGCAATTGGCTTAGGAGTAGAGAAGGGATGGATATACAATACCTAAGGAAAGAGTTCCAAGCAATTGCCAGCACAAAAAAAGTTCATGATAAAACTAACTGGACATTCCAGCCATTCAAGGGGCTTCTTCAGAAGAAATAAGTAAAAGTAGGTGTGTGAACTTTTGTGAGCTTTCAACTGAAACTCTTTTCTTAGGTAAGTTAATTGTGTAACCTTCTTCCTTGATATATCCAGGGTTACATAAACAATCTTAAAACATATTCTATAATCTAAGTTTGCTGGAACATTGATATTGTGTATTCAACTTTCAAGACACATTTAAAGTGCCTCTTCAGCATAAGTCTCAAGTTTGGATGTTTGCAGCTGCTTCACTGTAGAGTCGCTTTCCTTCCGTTCGCCAGAACTCTTTCTCTCTACTGACGAGAGACAAACGGCGTTACGTTTGTTGGATACCATCGATGATTCTGTGTCTGGAAAAACATTAATTATAGTTGAAAACAATGATTGTTATGAAATTGTTGTATATGATTTCTGGATTAGGACTCTGAAGAACTGAAGATGTTTAACGATCTTCCTCAATGATTTAAGAGATGTGAATCTGTCTTAGTGGAGGAAAATCTAAAAACAATTGTAGAATTTAATTTCTATAACTGCCTCTCTGAAGGTATCAAGTTCTTAACACGTTCAGTGCGGCATACCTTCAAACAGGCGCTCGCCAATGGCGGCGAGGCCCGGGTGAAGCCCTGCACTGAATCGGTGAACGCAATTGGCATTCAAATATTTCAGTCTGACGAATAAAAAAAGAGCAGCGGTGATTGTGCTGCATTAGCCCGAGAGTGTACGTAGTTCACTGAAACACCCAAAGGTAGCAGGACTGCCTGGATCCGTAGCCAGTGTCTTTGTAAAGTGGATTGAAAAAAGAAAATTGACGGAACCGGGACAAAAGCAACGGGATTTTACGGGAAATTTTAGTACCAACCTACACCAGACTAAATCTTATATTCTAAGCTACAGGTTGGCAACAATTATAACGTACCCCAGCAATGGCTGAGCTCACATTGAAGCAAGATTGTTGGCATTGGAGAAGGATGACATTTCCCGCCCCGCGTCAGTGGTGCCGGTACCGCGGGGCTTGAATTCCCGCCTCTAGCACTGAACGTGTTAAGAACTATCTACCACTAGAATTGTGCTGATAATTGAATTACCACAGCCCATAGAATGTTGAATCTCACCAGCACTTAAATGCTTCCTGGAACTATACAGACTCCGCCTAGTAATGATGCCCCCAAGGTTCTTGATGATCTTGCAATACTTGGGGGTTGTGAAGGTATACAGTAAGGGGTTGATGGCAGAGTTGACTGGCAGAACAAACACTACGACCCAAGCATACAGCGAACCTTTGGCAAAATACAAGGTTTATAGGCTATTCACAAGCAACTGTACTAGGCTCATAAGTGATCATTATAGGCCTTAAAAGGAGGATGATTGAAAAATGATTAATTGTGTATTTGAAAATATTTTGATGTGCTCACAAAATCTGGGAGGGACTAAGGCTCCATTTTGCTGCCTATGGCTTTGCAGGACTTGTAAAATATGTATGTAGGGATTTTACAGAGAGGTAGAATGTGATAGTTTGAAAGAAAAATACTAATAATTGTGAACCTTTCTGAGTGCAAATTCCTATTTTGGTTCTTTCAGTGTTAAAAACCTTGACCGTTTTACTGGTACAGAGGACACATTGTATGGTACACTTAAGTAGGGCAACGTACAACACTGCCCCCTCCCCCTCATGTGCTACAACACTTACAATGGAGGAAGACTCTGTGCCCTGTATAATAGGAGTTTCCGCACAGTGCTCGCCGCTCAGGCTCTTCCTTGTTCATCACAAGTATATTCCTAACTCAACAAACTAAAGCTGAACCCCACGGTTGTTCCATAAGCAAGTTTTCTTTGCACCTTACTTCTATATATCTTATGTCGATGATAAAATCGGTTAATAAATGGCGGAGGAGTTCAACCGACAAAGTTTCATGTCGCGTATTAATTATATAGATTATTTTTTTAATTACAGTTTTAGTTTTCCTGAGATTAACTAGCTTACCCCCTTACCTGGAATGTGAACTCTACATAAAGCGAGAATTTTTATGACAGTTATCGGAGCCCAACAGAGGGCATCGGTCAACACGATGAGGAAAAAACGAACAGCGAATTCTGAATCCCCCAGACTGATGGTGGTGGCAGTGCGGGTCTTGACTATACTATGGAACATGGCTGAGTAAACGATCACCATCAGAACCATGCTGTAACAAAAGTGATCAATGTGAGGAAAATGTGAAGTCATGCATTGTGAAAAATTGATTCCGGCTTGGTTTGAACTAAATTCTTGGTCTTCGTGTGAGAGTCGTGGAAAAGTATATTCACTATTTACGAAAATAGACACTTCAGTCATTCTATGATGTGACATCCTCAGTGGCCATGCTGAGACTGTCAAAACTGGGCAAAATTACTGTTTTGTAAATACCGATTTGAAGCAGCTCTAATCGGAAGACTAATTTAGAAACCGGACGCTTAAGCCTCCAAAAAGATACTGAATTTTAAGTCCGTTTTATATTTTTCACCACTTTTTACAGAAAGTAGCTTAAGTGTTTTTTTTTTTTTTTATAAAGGAATCTTTAAAGTCACTTGGAGTAATGTAAATTTACCTATCAGTCTAATGCAGGGTTGCCACCTTTGGCAAAAATCGGAGAAGTCCCCCCCCCCTTCTGTCAGGATTAACGAAAGCTAAAGGGACCAAAGTCGGGACAGTCCCAACAGAATCGAGACGGGTAGTAATCGTAACGTAAATCAAATCCAAACATTGGAAAGGGGGGGCATGTAAACATTTTTTTTTAAGGTGTAATATAAAAAATATGTGCTTATTCAGTTGGTTCTCAACAAAAAAGCTACACAGTAAAATGTGTTGAAATATTAACTCTAAATTTAACATTGTTGTGATTGTATAAATGAGGCAATCCAAATAGCAGGTACCGGTATTTGACAGTTTTTTTTAGTATTATTTGGCAATCCGAAGGCTATCATCTACAATGAAACTTCACTTTATATTTATTATTGGTAGTGTGGGGAAAAGTGTGTCATGCACGAGTCATCCGGGGAGGTGTTTACAATACTCGCATGAACTGCCCCAATGTCCAAGCCTCGCATGGGATCTCTCACGCTTGTATCGTAAACACATACTTACCGGCCTTGTAGCCGAATATAGGCCCGCCTGCTATTTTGTGATTAAACAAATGCTAAAATGACATTACTGTAAAAAAGATGTGGCTTCCAGGAGGCTGGCCAATGGTTTAAGATCCGCAACAGTAGGTAAATCAAGGAGACAGGTTACAACATACAGACTAGTTTTGTTTAAATATTTATTCATAACTTACACTGTTGTGTTGACACCAAGAAAGACAAAAGCCGAGTACTGCCATCCCATCAGAAACGGTATGTCAATGTGTAGCGGAAAACACATCCCGTTGGTTCCATAGAATCTCGTAGAATTCTTCCCGTGTAGCACTAAAAGTTGTAAAAGTGACTGTTAATGGATGTTTTGAACACAAATATCTGTGAAAATTGAATAGTAGGTTAGCAGACCTTTTTTGAACTCATAAGTTCAAATAACTAGTCATATATGACTAAAGAATACTTCGTTAGTAGATATTTATTTGGTTAACAAGACTAAGCAACTTTGTACTTAAATACTGTAATAGGAACATTTTAAGGCAAATGGATTCATAATGAGACCCTATGAAGTAAACCGTAACTTATAAAAATGATTGTTTAGAAACCAAGAGTAAAACGTCAGAGTCGTTCAACCAAAATAGCATCTCAGTTTGTAAGTCAGATATTAAATAAATAAAATTGCAAAATAAATCTTCCAAATGTTTCATGAGTATAAGGGGTTATTAAAGTGTGGTGACTTTTTTGGTACTGGCTTTGACTATTAATACAACAGTATACAATAATCAATGGTACCGGTAAGGCAGCTTTATTTACTAAATAAAAAGGTGTTTCAAGAGTTTATCACGTCAAACTGAATTTAAATGATTTTTCCACATTCATCCCATAATTTTTGTTGCACATATAAGATTTTTGTAAGATAAGTAAGATGTTGTTTTTTTTTATTCAAATTTGTTTAGCTAGCTTATGTGTACTTATCGTCACCTGCAGGGGCACAAATGGGGGCCATGGCACTCATATAAACAAAGATAAAACAAATATAAAGTAAAAAATATATAAAGTCTATGCCCTGAAAGGTTTTAAACAGATTTTGTCGACAATTAAGTATGTCATAATCTTTTTTATAGATAATTCTAGCTTTCAGACACCCATCAATATGTTTTAAAGCATTTTACATTACTTGTTTGTGTAGGAAGCAAGGAAGGTATTTTCCTCTCTTGGAAAAAGAAACTGGTTTTCTCCAGAAGTAAATTCCTGCGATCACCCAAGTAAGGATTTGGACTGAGGTTTGGATAACCGAAGAGTTTAAAGTATTAGTATCTTGTATATTTAGTTTTTGAGTCAAGATAGGTAAAATCTGACCACTTTTGAATGATTTATGACCACTTACCTGGGGCCACAGCTACGATGATCCCTACGGCCCAGATGGTAGCCAACGAGTAAGTAGCTGTTGACATGTTTAACTTCTGATGGCCACTGAAGGGGACAGCGATCAACAAAAACCTCTCCAGACTCAGGAACGCCAGGATTAGAACTGAAACCTAATAACACACATTACTTTTTCCATTAGTCCAGAAAATAGGTGTTTATTGGACAAATATGGTAGTTCTCGTGCAGGATTACCAAGTAGGGTATTCATACATTTTGGACGAGTAACGTACCTACATTTCTCTACTCTAAATTAAACACTAAAATATATATAAATCCATTATATATTCCCACTGACTAAACAACTTAACAATCAATACACATAACCTCTAAGAGAGGTTATGTTTTAGTTTATAATCACTCATTGCCACATAATCAGCTAGTGTCCAGTGAAAACTCATTACCATACAGTAGTATGTAATGAAATCCCCATTTGATTAAACAAGCAGGCAGCAACCGCTGTTTTCCGGGCTAAATCCTTGCGTGGAAAGTTCATTAAAACCGTGTATGGCAAAAAAAAAAGAGTTTCTGATATTCAAAAAGAATACAATTGACATTTTGCATAGTAACCAGGGTTGAATTTAGATTCAGACCTCAGACGAGACCATAGCTGCGATGCCGCTGAGCGTACAAGCAACAGAAGACATCCACTGGTGAGCGTGGTTGTTGTAACTCCCTCTATAGCTGAGATCCTTGTAAGCAATCATCACTAAGTATACACCCATCAGAAGGTCCGATACTAAAACACAAAGTATCACATCGATGATTTGTCTTTTTAGAACTTTTAATTTTTTATGTTTAAGAATTCAACATGAACGCAATATTAAATGAATTTTCTTTTATGTGGTGAACTTCAACCTTTGAATATTTCAACTCAGGTGAATAAATTACTAATTGATTGATGGCTCTAGCTTGCAAAATCGTATCAGTGGTAAATTAATAAATAAGGTTTTTTTACAATACTGAAACTAATTGTTATCAGCTTTTATTTTAAAATTCAGCCTCAGAAAAAGTTAAATTGAATGCTCTGTACAAAAACATTTCAACAACTACATTTCCAATCAAACCCATACTGTATACAGATACCTGCTAGATTCCGAACGACAAAACTCAAAGCTTGATTTTCATCTCGAGCGGTGAATCTTCCCAAAATCACCAAAATATTTGCGACGCAAGTAAACGTCGCGACCAACCAAACAGTTATACGCTGTATGGGTTTGGATAGTAAGTTCTCAAATGAAGATAGACCTGGGGAAAAATTCACTAGGTTTAAAATTTCTATGTACATGTAGTTATACAATAGCGTACTAATAGCTAAAATATTAAATTGTTGTCATACTAACTGATTTCTTTTGAAAGTACAAGCACAAATAAATTAGAACTGTACATCTTCTTAAAATATTTGTTATAAAGATGTACTCATATATAAAGATGTTGTTGTATATGTAGGTTCGTACTGGTTGTACATACCATCAGAGTTAGGTGAGCATTTAGGAACATTTGGTGCATATGTGCAATAGTAATATTGTTTGAAGTACCTAAAAACAAACAGGGGAATGAATTTATTACAATCTTATTTTAACAATCAAAACTAAATTAAGTAGGTAATCAAATGGTTATAAACTTAGAGAGCTTTCTCCCATTAGCTTTTCAAAAATCCTATGGGTATGTGGTGAGAATACTATATTATTTTAATGGATAAAATAAAATAAAATTCAGTACCTAATATTTTAACCGCAATTTTTACAGCATTGGGGTTTGTACAATTTCTTTAAGAGTTAAAAGGACCATAACAAACTAAACTTTAATGGAAATCACTTGAGCCTCTTTTGTAAAAAATCTGATTTTTAGTTATTTTATGGGTTTTAATGGGAAAATCACATACACACAGACATCCCTTAAAAAACACTCTTTTAGATTCAGTGGGACCCAAAACTGACATTTCCACCCAAAACTCAAACTGGAGAATGTTGACAAAATTAATACTAATTCCATGTACTACTATCAAAGTGGGAGAAAGTAGCAACGGATACAAAAAATCGGTAACTATAATTACTTACACAAAATCGAGTTTTCCCATCCTTTGAAACATTGTTGTATCAATGTGCTCGATTTCAATATCTTGTAAATCCCTGAAAAATATATCCTTCAAATTTACAAACATACAGCATAAGTAGTTATGTATTTCAATATAACTTATAGCATGCAATAAAGAATTGATTTCAAGATAAATTGAAGAACAACCGAAGACTACTTACAAAGAAGATAAGTTTCCAAGAGGATCAAACAACTTGCCTGGAACTTTCTGAAGTGGGTTGTGTCCCAACATTCTGGAAAGAAAAAGATAAATAAAAAGTTGTTTGAACATAGATTAAACAAACTCACTTTAGATCTATCACCCTTAAGCGGAAGACAATATTAAGGAATTTTTCCCTATGTTACCTTCAGTGTAGAGTTCACATCTTTTTGTTGTTCCAATAACCAAACTATTTTACCAATAGAAAAGTTTATTCATCTTGTATTACAGTAGAACCTTGATAACAAGACTCTCATGGGGATTGATAAATAAGACTTGTTATCAAGGTTGACTTGCTTATCAAGGTTTGTGAAATGTGATTAGAGGTTTAAAGTAAATTACAGGAGATCAAAAAATGAACTTGTTATCGAGGCTAACTTGTTAACAAGGATCTATAAAGGTTCCACTGAGTTTGTAATACTTTATTTTGTTGGCCTTTGGTCCTTGCCCATAGTCTATTCTTTAGTGATAAATTATTTAGTAATTAATTAGCTGTTTTCATCTATATGTAAATATTCTATTTTTATATTTGTTGTTTAATCTCCTGAATACTTACCAAAACTAATAAAACTATAAATATTAACTTACAGTTTGTCAAGTGATTGTAGGTAGGAAAAGACCTTTTCATCTAGAACATGAAGACAGTTATGGGACAAATCCCTGTAACAAAGTCAATTAATTGGTATAAAATAATCATTAAGGGACATTTCCTATGAATTTGTATTTGAATGCCTTTAACATTTTTACAATTTTCAATTCTCACTACACTACAATAGTTGCTTAAAATAGTTTGGAACATATAGTCTGGCAATACTCACAAAACATATAATAACATATAATTCACATAACATATAATATAGGCATAATTTTATGCAGTGAAACAATAAAAATGCTCAGTTATCTATTTAATTAAGGAGAAGGTATTTAGCTTAAAAATAAAGAAATGTGTGTTACTCACAAATAATCCAGATTCCACAGTTTATGGAAAGAATTTTCTTGAATGTACTGCACCAAGTTGTGTCTCAGATCTCTGAAAAATGAAAAATGATACTGGTTTTTCTAAGATGCTAACACTCTTATAACTTCATAGAAATAGATAATTTGCATATTAAGCTGTAAATTAAATAACAGAATAGCTCCTGAAGAAGGAAGTCCTCCAAGATAGAAAAAGATTGTTCTTGTCTAGGGTATAAAAACACACATACAGCGATTGGGAGCGGAGCGAAGTGGCACGATTTAGAGCGACAAAATCAAGTAGTAACGTGCACACAAACAGCTGTTGCGAGCTTAGTAGTTAACTTTGGAACAATCTTGTTTGTTTTCAAAGGTTTAGGAGCGGAGCAACGATCTTGTGGAACTTTTTAGTTCCATTTTCTGCTTTACCAAGTCTGTTTCAACTTGTTTAAGTTTTGAAAGAATGTAATCAAAAGTTCAAGGTAGACATACGCATGTATTATACAGGGTGAATAAAAAGTCAAGACCCCCCCCCCTCTAATATTTTTCCAAGTAAATATACAGAGATATCCTTTTGGTGGTCGAGCAATCTTAGCAGGAAGTTTCATTTTATCATTTTGAAATTTTTGAGTGTCCCCCCAAAAGGGGGGATTTGGGGGGCAACTCAAATATTTTAAATGTAAACCCCCTTCAAGTGACATCTCATTTTAAAGTGTTTACAAAAACTTAAAGAATTGTGAAAACTAGAGGTCGCTATCTCTTCTCTATCCAAAATGGTAGCCCGTCAAATGTTGTGGAAAATCAACGGTAAAATTGTTAATATTGGCTGCCATTTTGGATAGAGAAGAAATAGCGAGCTCTGGTTTTCACCATTCTTTAAGTTTTTGTAAACACTTCAAAATGAGGTGTCACTTGAAGGGGGTTTACATTTAAAATTTTTGAGTGCCCCCCCCAAAAGGTCCCCCTTTTTTTTGGCGAATCCCCATTCGGGGGACAACTAAAAATGTTTCAATAGAAACCCCTATCAAGTGACACCTCTTTTTGAAGTGTATAAAAAAACTTAAAGAATGGTGAAAACCAGAGATCGCTATCTCTTCTCTATCCAAAATGGCAGCCAATATTAACAATTTTACCGTTGATTTTCCACAACATTTGACGGGCTACCATTTTGGATAGAGAAGAGATAGCGACCTCTAGTTTTCACAATTCTTTAAGTTTTTGTAAACACTTTAAAATGAGGTGTCACTTGAAGAGGGTTTACATTTAAAATATTTGAGTGGCCCCCCAAATCCCCTCTTTTGGGGGGACACTCAAAAATTTCAAAATGATAAAATAAAACTTCCTGCTAAGATTGCTCGACCACCAAAAGGATATCTCTGTATATTTACTTGGAAAAATATTAGAGGGGGGGGGGGGGTCTTGACTTTTTATTCACCCTGTATGAATCGTGATTCATGCTTCTTAAGAACTGGAAACATAGTGATATTCACCATGCACCTCCCCTCCTTCATTCACTTATGCACCCACTCCGATCGGTTTGAAGCAGGCAAAATTAATATTTTTAACCACGTGTTTTCGGTGTGCTGAAAATGGCGTTTTTATTTTTTGTCCTAGGACGCTAGGCAGTTTTCACATTACTTCAAGCTAGCCCTAGTGGTTGCAGAATTATCACTTTAGTTAAAATCTATTGGTGATTTGGGGGATTTGAATCTGAGACCTCGTCATGTCAGATAAAACAGAATGGTTTAGAGTTGAACAAAGGAAGATGGGAAGACAGTTCAGTGTGGGACAAAAGGTGCAAGCAAGGAACTATGCATCCAAAGAAAAGTGGAGATTAGGAGAGATCATCAGTCGAGTGGGCAATGTCATGTACAGAATAAAAATGGACAATGGATTGATATGGACCAGACACACTGACCAGATCCTCCCTCAGGGACTGAAGTTTCGCGATCATAAACATTAGTAGCAGTATACTGATTATGACGATACTAATTTAAAATTTGATAATTAATTCACACATGAAAAATAATTACAAATTACTTACAATTCTGAAAGCTGGGGAAGTTCAGAAAAAGTGTCGTTCCGTATAGTTTGTATATTGTTGTGGGCAAGGTTTCTGTAAAAATACAAGTAAAACCATTATCATAGTTGTATAGTCAAATTAAATAATTCATATTCAATTACTTTACTCATTGCATGCTTATTTTTTCAAACTAGACTACAAGGGTGGTTCAATGAGTCCTTCAAAAAATATATAAACACCGTTCATAGTATTGCAAATGGTTTGTTTACAGCCAAATTCACTATTTAATAAACAGCTGACAAAGTTTCTGCGAAATCATCAGCTGATTTAATTTGTTTTGTCGATTTTGTAAACAAACCCCTGTGCATTTTGAATAATAGAATAAGTGAGTTCTGAGTGGTTATAAAACATTAACATTTGAAACGTTTAAAAATCCGGAGATCAAAAGCTGAGTTGGATCAAGTTCATGGCACATTTTGCTCCTGCATTTGCAACTGTTTACCAGGGCCATCCTTAGGATTGGTGGGGCCCAGAGCAAATGTGGTCGTGGCACCCCCCCCCCCCCCCCCATCAGTAGTAGTTGCATTCGCATATGTTAATACTTAGGTTAGTACAAATGCCCAGGGCAGCTTGCCCCGTTTGCCCCCCCCCCCCCCCTTCGGACGGCCCTGCTGTTTACAACTGGGTAAATGAGTCTGAAAGTGGCCGTATATTGACGCAAGATTAACCCCGTTCAGGAAAAGTTAAGGGTAAAAAATCTCTTCATGAACAAAATGAAGGAAAAAGAAGCAATTTTTTTGTAACTTACAGCATTTTTAAAGACGGCAGGAAAGGGAAGGACTCGTGCTCCAAAGTAATTTGGTTGTGCATCAACTCACTGAAAAACAAAAATCCATAGAAATAAAATGTATCTGTCTTAGTCGGTGGCAATCCGTCTTTCTTTATGTGTGGACCATTTTATTTTGAACATTTTTTTTTCTACTATTGTTGACAAAACTGAAGTTTTTCCTTACTCAATTTGTATTAACTATTCTGTTTAGGTCTACTAACAGATCATCAATAGCTTCAATGCAACAAAGAATCAGCTGAGTTATGTATAAGACAAAAGTGCTCTCGATTATTCTACGTATTTATTACAAAACTTTGTATTGCTTCAAATTAAAATCATACTTGAACAGTGAGACCTTTAATTTCCAATTAAGATGAATATGTACGTGTTTCCCATATATAAGGTTTCAGTCAGTTCGCTGGACATGTTACAAACTTATTACAGTTTATCTTCAGCAGCATTCTTGAATAAATCACATTATGCAATTTTTCCACAGGCGACATGTCACATGTTAAAAACATGTCCACCATGAAATTACTACATTTGACACCTTATATAGCAACCACCTATTTAGATCTTCATCTTATGATCGAATACAAATTTATAGAAAATCTAAAAAATTAACAAATCTCGTTACTTACAGCCATTTTAGTTTGACTAAGTCCCGCCAAGTGTGCATGTTCATAAACTGTAGTTTGTTGTGATGGAGGAAAAGCCACCTCAATTGTTTCAATCCACAGAATAAACATGGTGGCAGAGATACCAGCTCATTCCTCTGTAGTAACCTAAACAAAATAATAATATGGAACACTTTACGGTTAGAATCAAGAACTGTTGGTTAAATAGGGGCTGTCAAGGCATTTTAGCAAATACAGAGGGAAAACAATAATTGTTCATGTGCTCAAATCTGTGTGTATGTATAAATTCCTAGTGTCACAAATCTTTTGTGGTCACTAGGGGATTTTTTCATATTTTACTTTCTTCTATTAAGTCCCAAAAATCCACTGTGTGGCCAAAGCAACTTATAACAAGTTAATGATAATAATTCATATATTCAGTATAGTTAATGCTATTGGTCCTTAAACAATATTTAATATTTTATTGTATGTATATATTTATTACTACACAATACTTACAAGTTTCTCAGTCTTGTTTGGTTGTTAAACGCTTTGTCAGGTATTGTTTGCAGGTTGTTTCCTTCCAAATGTCTGAAATTTTAGTTACATTTGTTAAATTTTAATAAAACCAATTTGCATTTTGTCTTTGTGAAATAGTTTAAAACTGAGGATCCAAGGTAATTGACACAATTAATAAAATCCTAGTTATACATTGGTAAAAGATATTTACTGTAATTAAAATATCAGAGACTCACTAATTATCAGGCTTGAAGGAACCTTTTGTTGAAAAGAAACAAGTTTAAGGAAAGAAATTCAAAGTAATTAAAATCCTTAAGAATTCAGCCATTCAGAAGACATTTAGTTGTTCTTCATATTCTAATACTAACTCAAGTTAAAGAATTCACAAAAAAGTATGGTAAAAGTGTTTGAATAAACTCAAAGCTTTATAAACTGCTATGGGTATTTCAGTTTAAATATTTTATTTCATATTTTTAAACTAATATTATTTAGTAGATACCATTAAACAAATACACAAATGAACAATTAAGAATGTACCTTAGTATCAGTATCTGTTTTCTTTAACATTAATTTTTGAATACAAATTTAAATGTATAACATTAAATGTTCAAATTAGAGGGTATATCTTTCAATTTAAAAATGTTTGCGGTTTAAGCTAATTAGAAGCACATATACGAAATATCCGTAATACCTTTGATACTCACATGACAGTAATACAGCAGAACTTGGCGAACGAGTCTTGTGTTAGAACTATGGAGTTGTTTGCTAAAATCCTGAAAACAAAAACATGATGATGTTATTAGACTCTTCAAGCTTGGCAATGTAACTAAAAAATTGTAATTTAGTTCATTAGTTCCATATTGAATCTAGCAGCAACAAAAATAGCACAGATTGTGTTTGTGTTGCGTTTACAAAAACTTCCAACAAAACTTATGAAATAATTACACTTTTTTCTAAAAGAAAATTTTGATATTCAACGGATTTTTTTTAAGATGTTTCAAATCAAATATATTTATTTCCATTCGGTACAATAAAGTACAATAGGATAGGTCAGATTGCATTTTACAAATTGTCATGAAGCAAATTAAAGTAGATGTAAATATAAAATTAAACTTAAATTATATAGTATATAGAACAAAACAATTCTAACAATTCTAGGTTTCAATGAAACCTGCGGCAAAAGCTTATATGGGAAATTCTGGACCCTTGGGTCTGGCAGTGGCAGACCCAGCCTGAATTCCAGTCAACGCCTGAAGTATTTTCAGGTACCCTGTGTGGATGTGTGGTACTTGAGTACCTACGTTAAAAAAAACTTGCAAAAATAAAGCACTCTTTATATTCCATTCTATGGAAATTCTAAAATTAGCCGGTGAAGATATACAAATTGTTGAGAACACTAAATTTCTAGGATTATACATAGACAGTAAATTAAGCTGGAATGATCATATTGATCATGGGGCAAATCGAATGTCAACAGGCCTATTTGCACTTTATCGATTATCAAAATTTTGTAAACTTGAATCCCTAAAATTGGTTTATTTTGCTCATATTCACTCACATTTATCCTTTGGTATAAGTATTTATGGAGGAACATCACAAGCTAATTTAGACAGAATTTTAATTCTCCAGAAAAGAGCAATACGCATTATGTTAAATTTGGATTGGCAAGATTCTGTTAGGGAAAAATTTGAAGAACTAGGCATAATGACTGTATGTATTCTATGACTGTAAAACCATTTTATTATATCTATCAATGTATATTATATACTGTCCAAAATTCAAATAATGTCTCACTGGTAGGGGATTCTCATCAATACTGTACCAGAAACAGAAATAACTATGCAACACCTTCACATAGATTAAGATGTTTTGATAAAAAACCAATGTATATGGGTATAAAATGTTACAATGCTCTTCCAACAAAACTAAAGGACTATACAAGGACTACAAAATTTAAAAATAATCTAAAAATGTACTTTTTAACCAATCCCCTGTATTCAAAGAACAAATTTTTCCTCTTACATAATATATTAGAATAAGAACTTCTTCAATAGTGATTATATCTTGTACTTTTTTAGGATTAAGCATTATGATTTTGATCCAATGTAATGACGCCATTCGTGCACATGTTTGCAAAGTATGAATAAAGATGATTTCATTTCATTTCATTATGTGAGAAATTCTCCAAGAAAACCAATTTAACCAAATGGTGATGGAAGTCCAACTTACATTTTGCTTACATCCTGAGATACTTTCTGAGGTACGTCAGTCAACCCTCTGTCCTTGCACCATAGAGCCGTCTCGTCCCCACAGTCACAAGTCGCTGGGTACGATGCCAACTCTGAAAAATATTACTTATATCAACATGGACTCCAAGACACCAAGTTACACCAAAAGTGAACCTATAAATACTGTGACTCGATTATCCAACATAAATCAATCACAACAAGGTGGGATAAGTGACCAGGTCAGATAATATAGCATAACCTCAATCTATATAAATAAAATTAGAGTTTTGTCTGTACATTGCTCAGAATTATATATTTTTAGGTTATTTTTACGTCTTATACATTAAATAAGCAGAAACGAGTCTTATCTCAATTTCTGTCTGTCTGTCTTTCCCTTTGTCTGTAACACTCAAGATGGCATTTTACGCTATCTTCTCCTGGAAAACGAGAGTACCTATCAAGATCCAAGTCATTTTAATGTATTCACTGGATTGGCGAGATTGTCTTTAGCCATTAAAATATGGCCTCACTACTTTGTAAATAATATTACGAACGTTCAAAAATGCAGTTTTGTGCGATTTATGTCAAGTTTTCGTCCAATTTTTATTGCATAATCATCTATGAAATAACGAACAGCTGTTCGGATCAAGATTATTTTTCCTAGCTGTCACTGATATGTTTACAAATGTTGTTTACAAATACCGCAACCTTTTTCAATCACGTTTTGAATGTAAATCCCAAGTGATTAAAAACGTTTTTCTTACATAACGCATTTAATTAATCGAAAGTGCAATAATATAGTGTAATAGTGTAACCGTGTAAATGAAATTAAATAACTAGGCATCATCCAGTTCAGGAACCAGAGATTCTTTGTGTATAAATTGTTCTTGAGTTTTGATAACCAGAAAGAAGACCTTGAATCAGTGTTGTATACGGCTGGGAAACTTTAAATTTAATAATGATCGTCGCCAATGGCTTAGAAATATGGTTTCCACTCATTGACACGGCGCTTCAATGGCGGTTGTGTAAAGTGGTAAGTAAAAAATCACAACTGCAGTGGTTGATTGTAACAGAGGTTTACGGATGATGCTAAACTCGCTTTTCTAATGTGTTATTTTCTGTTCCTACCATTGACTATATATATATAGTCAATAGTACCTACTCACCGTGTGATGCAATCGCTGGACCATACAGCCATGCTCTTGGGTACGTACGCCTACCCAATTATTTATAACAAACTGTTCGACGACGATCCTTGATACCGGTACTTTTCCCTAGAATACACGGCCTACCTACTTAAGAAATAAAATTACAAACGTCCAAAAACCCAACGTTGTGTGATTTTTGTCACATTTCCTTCTAAGATAGCCTTTACCAATCATTGTTTAGAGAATAGGTACGTAGGGCCTAATCTATTAAATAACAAAAAGTTGTTTGTATGAGGTTGTTTTTTTTAAAAACTGACACCGATAAGTTTACATTAAAAGTTGTTTACAAATAAAGCAATTATTGGGAAATAACTTTGATTGCCGTTTTAAAACGTTTTACGAGAAAATCAAAAACCAAGAGATCAATAACCTCGGGACTTGATTAACTCATATAATTGGTCGGCTGTACTATAGTTCTCAACTGTGAACGTTGGTTTTTGGTACCGGTTCTATTCCTTAGAACCGTTGGTACTGTTGGTAGTAGCAAGAATCATTTTTAAGTACCAACACATCACTGTACTTTACAAATTAGTTATCGTTGGTGTTGCACCTTATTTATTATTACAGGCGTATTCAATTTAATTGATGTCTTAACTGTACAATTTTTGCTTTTTCTTTCTTGATTCCAAAATGTTAGTTTATGCTAAGAAAACGATAATGCACTTTAGTAAAACATTTATTCAGCTAACCATAATGAATTGTTTAAACGCTTTACGTTGTTTATGTATCAATAGTTTGTGGCCTATTTTGGTAATATTTACTATAAATTACCAATCGTCTATACCAGGGTGGCTGGACCACCCTGGACCAGTCGTCTTCATTTTATATAGTAAGCCGTCATTTCGGGTCATCATCGGTCCAAGCAAATATACATTGTTATGATGAAATTTGATGACATTAACAAAATATTTTAGATACTAATTTTACAAGTACTTTGTTATGCTTAAAGCGTAGCAAACCCCCTAATTAAGTTCTGTATTTTTGCGTGTATGTCTGTTAGTAAAGCATTAATGTCCTTATTTCTCAGTGTTTCACGGAAAGGACAAAATTACCTTTATAATGAAAATGTCAACACGAATAAAGTGTTAAATTGGGAGGTTGAAGTAGTACCTTAAATACTTTTAACCATTGTGGAAGGTAACTTTCAATTATAGGCCTACATTAGGGCTATGCCTCATAGATCTATAAAGCATTTTTTAGTTTAATCATTGGATTTAACATATGGACCAACACGACCCAGGTTACATTTAATTTCGAAGCATTTGTTTTGGCTTGAAACTGTCAGATACTGTATTTGCGAAGGTTTATATACTGTATAATAGTTTTGCCAGCATATCTGAAAATATGCAAACCAAATTCTGTTCTTAATAAAAAGGTTTCAATAACTGACTACAATAAGATCCCCGTGCGTAGAACGGGCACACAGCTAGTACTTACTACAATCTGTTGACAGGTTGCTTCGCTTTAGATTTCCAATGAACTCATTAGTGTACCCATACACATCAGCTGAAAAAAAAACAAAATGTATTATCTTATATTGATGGTTTTTTTATGAGAGAGTTACAAACAAAACATGTGTTGGCAAGGTTGGAAGTGCCACAGGTTAGAACATGTCGCAAAACATTAGCTGAACTCAACCGTTCATAAGATGCTGAAGAAGACTTTGGGTAATTTATATTCATTGGTGTTTCTGTTTTGTTTAACATTAACATTGCCAAAAATAGTCATTGAATAAGTACAAAAATCAATGCCAAGATTGAAAGTTTTGAAACTCAAAAAAATTCAAAGGTAAGCTTTTGAAGAAAACAAATAATTGCTGTGATTCAAAGGTTTATTGCGGACATTTTCCATCACGAATGTAAAAAAACAATACACAACGTTTCGGGATCTGGAATCTGATCCCGTCTTCAGGTGAAAAAAACTTAACTAACACATTACAACTAACAATACACAAACGCCCAACCTAAGTTGGAATACACTACCGAGGGTAGTTGTAATGTGTTAGTTAAGTTTTTTTCACCTGAAGACGGGATCAGATTCCAGATCCCGAAACGTTGTGTATTGTTTTTTTACATTCGTGATGGAAAATGTCCGCAATAAACCTTTGAACAACATTAACTCACCATCACCAACAATGAACTTCAAACAAAGAATTGCTGTGAATTTATAAAAAAAGTAGAAAGCCCCAGTAATTGTATCATAAAATTTGTTTATAATTGTTTTAAATAAATAAAAATATTTTATTATTACCACATCTGAGTATGTGTTCATCGTCAGCCAGTGGACAGTCCACATGATGATTGCAGATGAAGTGTTGAGGTATACACAAAGAGGAGTTCAGGCAGGGGAACGCTCCTTCTGGGCAAGAATCTGAACCTGGAATAAGTAAATACAAGTAATAGGTTATGTCAGCTAACAGTGGTGGTTCCAAGGGGGTGGGATATAGGGGCTGAAGCCCACCCCAATTGGACCCTGGAAAAATCAATTAAAATATATACTTTGCCATAAAAACATAACTGGGGTTTTTGGACACAGTTCTAAATATTACAAATGGCTTTAAACAGACACAATTTTTTTGGGGGAGGATTCAAGCTGATTTAAAGTAAAAATATTATAAAATAAAAGGAACCAGCAAACTGATACATACTTGGCCCCATTAGCTTGCCAACAACCCTTATGGGTAAGCAGTAAGAGAAAGTATATGGTATATTCTTGAGTGTGGCAGATTGCGTGAAAATATAATAATAATTATTAGTATTAATAATATTAATACTAATAATAATAATAATAAATAATAATAATACTAATAATATTAATTATTAGTATATGGTATGTTATGGGTAAAATTACAATATTTGCAATAACTCTTTAACTGCAATTTTTACAGCAATGGGGGTTGTACCATTTTCTTTAGAGTTAAATTAAGTTTAACATACAAGATTTTAATCAAAATCGTTCAAACATTTAACAAAAAAATAGATTTTTATTGTCCGTTGAATTTTTATAAGAAAATCAAAGTTTCCAAAAAACAAGAAAAACTCTTAGATATACCTACCATTGATTAGTACTTACATCAAATTAATCAGCCTTGACACCTTTAATATGCTATTATAGATAATAATCTACTTACGTATCACGTATGCCAGTAGGTGTCAATTATTAATACTTGATATGCTGTACATGTTTCAAGCCTAAATACGGCTCATCTTCAGCAGCATTTTTCTATGTACAATTTTTCACATCGAGAGATGATTGTCGACTATACAGGGTGATTGATATAAGTGTGCCAGCCGTTTTATTCGAAAACCATAAGAGATATCAAAAAAAGTTAAATGGTAAGTGCCTTGGATTTTTTATTTTAAAAATTGTAGTCAAGTCAAAAAAATTATTTTAGCCGCCATTTTTCCAATATGGCCGCCAACTTTGATTTTTCTTATGGAACACCCTGTATTTTATGATGTATACTGGTAGGAAATGTTATTTTAAGACGATTTTATTCTTGTGATTTTTTTCATAAACCTAACCGTTTCAAAGATAATAATGGTTTAAGTTGAAAAATTTTCAATGGATTTCTAATAAAACAGCTGGCATGCTTGCTTAGGCCTTTATCAAAATTCTTTCTCATGCAGAAATTTCAAAACTTTAACCAGTATTATCTATGAAACGGTTAGGTTTATGAAAAAAATCACAAGAATAAAATCGTCTTAAAATCACATTTTCTACCAGAATACATCATAAAATACAGGGTGTTCCGTAAGAAAAATCAAAGTTGGCGGCCATATTGGAAAAATGGCGGCTAAAATAATTTTTTTGACTTGACTAAAATTTTTTAAATAAAAAATCCAAGGCACTTACCATTTAACTTTTTTTGATATCTATTATAGTTTTCGAATAAAACGGCTGGCACACTTATATCAATCACCCTGTATAGTACTTACATACCAAATTTCATCAAATTTGGAACTCTGGTGTAGTCAGTAGCTCTGTACACATCCACACACACAGTCATCACTTTGAAAACCGCTTTTCGAGGTTCCCCAAAAAGCATATTTCCATGCAAAACTCAATCTCAAAAATTGTTATGAAAACAATACTTATTCCATATACTTACCGTGTATAGGGTAGAAAGTAAAACAATATACAGGGTGGAACGAAGTTAGTGTTAAAAAATTTTATGTGTTAAACTACTAAGTATTGGTGACAAAATGGCACCAATTTAAGTTTCCATACCCTCACAGGTAGGGAATAACGGACAATTTAAGATTGTTTCAAAATATTTGTATTTGCTTACATAAAATGGCCATGAGTGCACTAAACATTGTTTTTATTCCGAATTCATTGTCATCTTTAGAATCCTCGTTAAATTTCCAATATTAATAGTACAAATTCATTGAGGTGAAACATCTGCATAAGCCCTTGTTTGGCATTAGAAGTATGAATTTGTGATTTTTTTTTAAAAAGTAATAACTTTTTTCAAAGTTTTTCTATACTACACCGGACTCTAGAGAGTGTCAAGTATTACTAAAAACTTCTGCAGTTAATAACCTTTAAAATGATGTATAAACATCTACTGTTCGTTTGATTTGTCGTTCTCAAATTTAAGAGTTTCTCTTGAAAAACACGGAATGGCCAAAATCGCCTCCCTTTAAAATAACACGTATTTGCTTAAATATTATGGCAATAGCTGCAATAACAATTATATTTGAATAGGGTTTATTGTAATTTTTAGAACCCTTGTGAGATTTATTATAAGAATATTAAAGATCTATTAGGATTAACAACCATATAAACGTATGTTTTGTGAAAACATGTTAAACTAGTTTAATTTTTATTTTTTGAATACTGTACATTGAATATTGTTTAAAGTTACACATGGTACATTTAACTTAAGATTTTTTTCTAAGCATAAACAAATACTTCCAATGGAGTAACCTCTAAAATTATGTAGATACTACTTTTTACAATGTTGTCAATATGTTCACCGAAACCCCAAAATTAGCCTAAGTAATTTATTGCAATTAATTGATTGTAGTTCTTAGACACATGCTAATGGAAATAACTCAGCCAAGTGATATATTTCTTTACTAAAATAATTGTTAAAACCTCAGAAATATGTAGTTTAACTTATTTACACAAAAAATAAAAGTTAATTCTAAAACACACAATATTCGAAACTTAAAAGAGGGTTCTTACTTCCTTAACGTTTTAATAGTTGCCTTCTATTTGATGCCAACTACTTGAGTTTTTTTTTTCAAAATCTCCTTTATTTTCCCTGATATACAGCCAAGTTTTTTGACAAGTGGCACCAACAGTAACATTAAAATACAACGTTCCTCTGACTAGCACATCTGCATTCATTATCCAGTTGTACATTTCCTTATTAATCTTCCACTAAAGATGAGGAGACCAATTACTCCACATAGCCACACAAAAAAAGTCCAGTGGACTCAAGGTCTGGCGACCTGGCATGCTAGCAAGCCACACCATATGACTCATCTTTATCATTGTTATCATTTAAGTTGTGTATTTTGCATTAAGTCAATCTCGCACATCGGTTGAATGTACATAGAACTAACACCGTAAACGATATTTAAGCTATGCCAATAAATAAGAAAAAACCCTAAATGAAGATACATCACAAAACATAGGTTCATAAAGTGTTAATCCTAACAATTCCTCAATATATTAGGCATTTTACAAGGATTCTGAAAATTGCAATAATACCCATTTAAACATGATTTTTAAAGCAGCTGCTGCCATATCATTGAAGCCAATATATGTTTTTTTTTTACAGGAAACTAAACATTAGCTGTTCCGTGTTTTTCAAGAGAAACTCTTAAATTTGAGAACGACAAATCAAACGAACAGTAGATGTTTATACATCATTTTAAAGGTTATTAACTGCAGAAGTTTTTAGTAATAATTGACACTCTCTAGAGTCCAGTGTAATATAGAAACACTTTGGAAAAAGTTATTACTTTTTTCAAAAAGATCACAAATTCATACTTCTAATGCCAAATAAGGGCTTATGCAGATGTTTCATCTCAATAAATTTGTACTATTAATATTGGAAATTTAACGAGGATTCTAAAGATGACAATGAATTCGGAATAAAAACAATTTTTAGTGCACTTATGGCCATTTTATGTAAGCAAATACAAATATTTTGAAATTGTCCGTTATTCCCTACCTGTGAGGGCATTGAAACTTAAATTGGTGCCATTTTGTCACCAATACTAAGTACAGTAGTTTAACACATAAAATTTCTTAACACTAACTTCGTTCCACCCTGTATATCTTTTGACAAAGACTTATTTGCTGTCAATATATACCATCAAGTAGGCCTATATCTAACATTCGATGACATTTATTTTGTTCAGATTTGAAATGAAGCGGCAAACAAATCATAGTAACAGTACCGTAACAAAGCAAATACCCCCGCTGCAGCAAACCTGTAGACTAAGCGAATTTTCATTTGCCTGATTGAACGTTACATGGGAAATTCACTAAAAGCTTGTTTGAGATACCATGTAAAGGCGACTGGGCTCATGGAAATTTCCCTGTTCTTACAACAATAGTAACTGTAGAAATTGGATATTATTTCCTGTTAAATGTAGTCTATTTTGATATTTTTACACATTAATGTTGATAAGAAACAAACCAATGAATACTCAATGCAGTTTGTAATTACATAGTGAATACATTATTGCCAATGGAAAGAAGGAAAGAAAATGGGTAGTTTTATCTTTATCTTGGATTATTTATTTGCTTCGTACTATTTTATTATAGATTGTTAGTAGTAAAAAAAGGACTGATATCATATTAATTTACAAAAAGCCTACTTTACAAACGTTTAACTTATGCAATCAACAAATTACTTCTGATTGAGATTTGTATTTTGTAAATAAATTAAACCATTTTATTTCATTTTCAACAATATTTTAAACCCAAAACAAGTCTTAAAAATTTACTCCATGTAAGAGTGGAAAAGAATACAAATTTAACTTAATTAACCAAACAATTTTGATGTGAAAACTATGTGATTCATCTGAAGTTATTTTTTAAGAGAAGTAACCAAGGGAAACATGTTATGAGGTATTGACAGGCTTCACACGTTAGTTTGATTGAAGGCAACTCGTAGATGTTAAAATGTAACGAGGTGAATCAAATTCTCTCATCCAAAAAAATATAAACTTAATATTTAGTTATTTAAAGATTTTTTATGCTGTAAAAATCAGTCACAAACAAACACCTATGATAAGTGATATCACTTACAATACAAACCCCTATAATTTTGAATAAATAGAGTAAAGTACAATAGAAACCTCTAATTTTTTTTATACGTTAGGAATTGAACCTACCTCTTCCACTGAAAG